TGTTTAAAGATTTTATTCCTTGAAAGGTTTTGAATAGGAAAATGATGAGATTTTATGTTTTAAAAGAACACTGTCTGCTCTGTAGAAATGGATTAGAGAAGATTTCAAGTGGAGGCAGTTGGGCTTTGGCAGTCGTGTCAATGATACCCAAAGCACACTCAGCAAACCAATGCCTGTCTGAGAACTGTTACAAGACTACTTAAATGTTTAGAAAGTTGTTTTTTCTTTGTTTGTTTTTTGAGATGGAGTTTCACTCTTGTTGCCCAGGCTGGAGTGTAATGGTGCGATCTCGGCTCACTGCAACCTCCGCCTCCCGGGTTCAAGTGATTCTTCTGTCTCAGCCTCCCGAGTAGCTGGGATTACAGGCACGCCCCACCACGCCCGGCTAATTTCTTTGTATTTTTAGTAGAGACAGGGTTTCATCATATTGATTAGGCTGGTCTTGAAGTCCTGACCTCAGGTGATTCACAAGCCTTGGCCTCCCAAAGTGCTGGAATTACAGACATGAGTCACTGCGCCCGGCCAAATGTTTAGAAAGTTTTACAGGCATTTGACACTGCCCAATTATCAGTATTTCAGCCCGTATTCAATAGGCTCATCTCTATGAAGAGATTATGAACTAGTTCCCTGTTGTCTAACTCACACGGGCACAGTGTACAAAAGTCCCAGCTGTGATGCGTTAAAAATAAAAAAGCTACTCCTTCATTACAGTAGCACTGGTCTCAGTGGTTAATAATGGGGCTCAGACTAGGGTGGTGGCAGTGGAGATGGAAATGAAAGGACAGTTTCAAGACACATGTTGGAATATAACTGATAGGAGCTATTAATGAACTAGTTATGAGGAGGGGCAAGTAAACAGTAGGTACCAGGTTTCTGGCTTGAGCAACTGGACAGATGACAGTGCCATTCTTTGAGAAGAAAACAAGGGAGGAAGTACTTATAAAGGGAATAAGAAAAATCAAGAACTCTTTTTTGGGCATGTAAAATTTGAGATGCACATGTGACATCCAAGCAGAGATATCAAGTAAGTGGCTGAATGTTTAGAGCCAGAGAAAAGGTTTCGGCTGGAGATACAGGGAGAGCTGGAGCGGGAAACAGGGGAGTGCTGCTGACAAACAGGTTATAATGAGGATGAAGAGGTATACATCAAATTTAGCAGCAAAGAGGCCACTGGTATTCTTCTGAAGAGCAATTTCACAGGAATAGTAGGCACAAAAGAGTGAGTGATAGCTAGAAGTAGAAATGGTAGCCTGCCTGAATTAATCCTACTGCATTCCCACGGTCCCCTCATCTTTAGCACACCTAACTTTCTGTCTTATTTATATGAGAATTATTTGTTTACCATATGTCTTAAGTTATAGACTTTCTAAAGGCAAGGAGTATATCATGCTCATTTTTTTAAAATCTCCTTCCCGCCTCCAGCTATTAGCTTAGCACATTTGCTAAATGGTATTTTTGAGTTGGTTCAAAATTTTACTAAAAATAAAAACACTGCCTAGGAGATTGATGCAAGCATACAATGCCTATTATTAAATGTTACTTTAATTTCCACACATGAAGTTGTATATATAAAACTGCCTAGTACAATCATGTATCATTCCACATTAAATCATCCCTAACACATGCTCTAAAAACCAATAATACTCAGGGTAAGAAATTATCTGCTAAAAGCAATCCTCTAACTCCAGCATATCAAAGATATGTCTGTGCATCGCAGAAGTCAAAAACACTTTAGATACAGTGGTTAATTCGAAAATGTGGGCTCACAAATGAACTTTGTTACATTTAAAACTGTAAGTCATTCAGGAAACAACATATTGAGAAAAAACAACTTGGTTCAAATCAGAATTACCTCCTTATAGTCTCCATTTCGGTTAAGTCTATAGCCCTCAGGAGTATGAAGCTGAACAGTTGTGTTATTGATCACTTCTATGCAACACTCTTGATCAGGAAAGCCCAGTGGGCGCACCCTACAGTATACCTGAAGAAATAAGAAGGTGCTTAAATAACAAAGTTTGATCTTTTGCCTGACTTTTCACTTAAGCTTCTCATTCATTCCTTCATTCATTCAACAAACATTTGTGGTCTCTCAGTTTTAGAGCTCTGTATCTCCAAGAGCTATGAAAATTAAAATCTGCTACTTGAGATTGACAAATACAAACATATATTAGATATGAGAAAACTTTAAATACACACAAAATTAAAATAAATTTTGATAATAAAAATCAAATTGCAGTGTATTTACTACTATATTGTACACAAATAATAGTTATACTAATATCTCTAAAAGTCAACATGTCACACAGTGAGATTTTTAAAACTGTTAGAATTTCTTGGAAATCGATGTCAATTTAAAAACTTGTCAGCTTAACCCGACATTTAATATACAAAGACATTTTTATTTATTTATTTAGAGACAGAGTTTCATCACCCAGGCTGCAGTGCAATGGTGTGATCTTGGCTCGACGCAACCTCCTGGGTTCAAGTGATTCTCCTGCCTTGGCCTCCCGAGTAGCTGGACTATAGGCGTGTGCCACCATGCCCGGCTAATTTTTTTGTGTTTTTAGTAGAGATGGGGTTTCACCATGCTGGCCAGGCTGGTCTCGAACTCCTGACCTCAGGTGATCCACCCGCCTCAGCCTCCCAAAGTGCTGGGATTACAGGCGTGAGCCACCACACCCGGCCTACAGAGACATTTTTGAAAGCAGGGGAGGGGGCTTGAGGAAAACTCATTCAGGTGTGTGCAAAGCACCTGGTTCCCCTAAGTCAGAGCCAGCGACCCACTCCAGTGGCAGCGAGGGGTAGATTTCAAATACCTCAGAGCAAAGAACACTTTTTGTTTGCCATTTGCTGTTTTGTTTCAGAATTCTTATTCCTTTTGCCTGCTTCATTTTTCTTTCATAATTTAACATTTGCTTTTAAAAGCAAGTTCCCAAGCCAGAAACTAGTGAAGTACTTGAATTAGGAGTAGATATTAGACTGAATTAAACTCGGTCCCAAGAAGTTTGGAACTCTCCTTCACGCCGTCAGTTACTGTATGGCATGAACTGGGTTCATATGAACTCACTTCATATTCTCTGGGATGAATATGAACCCAGTTGGAGATTTTTAATTATCTAACTCGCCAAATTATAATTACAGAAGGTATGCAGTTGACAACCAAAGACTTCATTTTACTGGACTAATTAATCTTACAGAGAAAATTTCACAGCTAGAACTAGTTTTACAGAATTTAGTACATCCATTTAACTAATTGTTCTTTGATTATATTTCCACGTCTTCTTCCTTCCCTTCCAAGCACACACATAAGACAGAAAGGATTGAAGAGATAAGTTTCTTAAACACACACACATAAATTCACAGGGAGACCTTACCCCAACTGGGTCTTTAAGGTTCGTTTGGGACCCTTTTTTCACGATAGGCTTCCGGGGTGTCTTAGCTCTCCTGGTCATAGATTCAAAAAATAACAATAACTTTTTTTTCAGTTCAACACTAATACAAAAGCCTCACCTAAAACTTACACAATCTTTCTAGGTTATCTGTAAATTATCCCTTAGCAGTTCCAAAACACTGCATCCCAAATAACATGAATAATAATCATAGTAGCAGAGTGTTTATGGCATGCGTAATCCAAAAGTAATTAAAATTTGCTTTAGAACACATTTTTGGTACCAAATGTACCTACTTATTCTCTGATTAGTTCTATACTTAAAATAGCTTGCATATTTTCTTGAGCAACAATTTAACAGAGGCACTACAAATTTGAAAAATCTACAAATAACTGCCCACACTTTACAGACTGACAACCGATTAACTTCAATACACTATAAAAATGCACACGGAGGAATCCATTCTTTCGACAAGATTTATGCCTGTACTTTCAAGGAACAACCAGTCATTGAATGCTCAAAACGATTACTCTTTGTCTCCAAAAAAATCCGGTCCCAAACTGCCAATTTCTTGGTTTCTTAAGTAGGGGCAATCAAAAAGTTATTTTGATTGATTTCACCGTTTCTTAGCATCTCATCTTTTTCCCTTCACATTTACCTATAGGCTAGATATACATTTAACATATTAAAATTAAGTGAGACTATTGGCTTTGACTGTAATTTAAAAATATTTTTCAAAACATATTCTCAGATGAAACACAAGCAGATTCGTGTTGTTCAGTGCAAACACACTGTGGTGGGCTTAACTTAAACTCAACGTATATTTCTTATATATAAATTTTTTTCATCTAAAGATTTTGACTTCGGCCTCTTAATAAACAAGTGGCCTTTTGCAAACAACTCCCTAAATGGTAATAAAGCCAATCCTCTCCTTTGCACGACAAATACTTCTTTACCCAGGAACGATGCTGCGCCGAAAATATTGGCTTTGGAATGTGGGCGGGGGTTCTCTGCGGCCACAAAATACAGCAGAAGTAACTGGCCTGTGTTAAGCGGATGGGCTCGGCCTCAAGGACAGGGTGCTGGGCTAAAAAAAAAGCTCGCGGCGATCACCGGTGCCAGGGCTCTCCAGAAACGGAGCCCACCTAACCATTGCCCAGCACACTCGCTCGGCTCCACACGCAAGACCACCCCCGATCCGCACTCAGTCGGCCAACTGCGCTCTGGAGGCGGCGGCGGCAGCCAGCGAGGGAGAAGGGGAACTTGAGAAGGGGAAGGCTGTCCCGGGGACCCGAGGAGGATAGCCCCGCTATCGGGAACCGGGTACCGCATAAAACACCCCCGGCTTCAAGCCGACGCTTCCTGGCCTCTGGAGGCCCAGTCGGGGCGGCTGGGGGCGACGCGGCAGGGGGCTCCGCGCCCAGGCTCCCGTGGAGCGGCCACACGTGAAGGTTCCCACTTTGGGGTCGCGGCCGCAGCAGCACCGAGCGGGACGCCGTCCGCGCTGCCCGCATCCGGCCGCGGCCTGCGTGGAGACGCCTGCCCAAGCCCCGCGGCCCCGGCCCCCGTCCGCCCTCCCTCCCTGCTCGGTGGCCTCGTACTCACGCTGACTTCATGGCAACAGGCTCCACGCTGCCCAAACGCGCGCGCGGAACGGCGGGCTGGCGAAGACTGCCGGACGTTAGGACCGGCAGCAGGAACTGGGACCCCGCGGCTAAAGTGCGGTGCTCGGAGAAGCCGGCGGCGACGCTAAGAGCCCAGGTGAGCTCCCGCCTGGCGCATTTCAAACGGGCCAATCAGCGCCCGTCCGCAGGGAGCGGCAGGACCTCCGCGGAAGTGACTGCGCTACCGGAAGTGGCGTTTGTCTCCTAGGCGACCGACGCTGAAAGGGCTGCGGAGTTGTGTGTCAGGGCTGGAGGGCGATCTTGAGGTATGGTATTTAAACTCTTCCGCCTTGCGATGAGGAAATTGAGGGTTTCTTTTCCTCCATCACAAGAAGTTCAATGGAGGGGCCTTTCCAGGGTTGATTCAGAGGTCGGAATGTCGTTCTGGTGAAAAGTGTTGTATTCCTGTGCTGTGCCCTGCTCCGAGTCTCAGGCTCCCTCTCTCTGCCTTCCAAGTCACCACATTATCTTGGCTTCTTTTCTCTCTCTGATTCAACTTTCCTGGGTTTCCCTCCAGCCCTGTCCTATATGTACATTATTTTATCAAATCTTTTTTTTTTTCCTTTTTTATTTTTTGAGATGGAGTTGCCCTGTCGCCCAGGCTGGACTGCAGTCTTCAGCTCACCTCAGCAACCTTCGCCTCCCAGGTTCAAGCATTTCTCCTGCCTCAGCCTCCCAAGTAGCTGGGATTACAGGCGCGCACCACCACGCCCAGCTAATTTTTGTATTTTTAGTAGAGATGAGGTTTCATCATATTGGCCAGGGCGGTCTGGAACTCCTGACTTCAGGTGATCCTCCTACCTTGGCCTCCCAAAGTGCTGGGATTACAGGCGTGAGCCACCGCGCCCGGCCTATTTTATCAAATCTTGATTGTGTTTGATCCTGGCCTTACGGAGATGAATAAAATTTGGTCCTTACCCTTGAAGGGTTGCCCTTTAGAACCTACTCTCTTGCCTTAGATGAACTGATTCTGTATCACTTCAGTCTTGGACCCTAAGCTGATGTCTATCAAATACACATCTACACCTGGGCTCTCATGGAATTCTAGCCCCTTATCAACTTCCTAAAGGACCACAGCACTGGTAAGGATAGTCACAATTTAATATCCTTGGCCCATATCGTTGGTGCTCAGGAAGCAACACCCCAAAGTATGGCTCTTTGGCACACTGAGTGCTTTGAACTAAAGAAGATTGAAAGTGCCTCAGAGAAGCCTTAAAAGCAAAGTCTCTCTCTGACTTTCTCCTGCCTTCTTGTCTCCCACCCCTCCGTGTCTCCTAAAGCAAATAATAGAAATCAGAATTTCTGTTCCCCAAGGCGGGTCATGGAAACTAGAACCCCTCTTCACCCAAGCAAGCCAGAAACATTATTCTAGAAAAACCTAGAAAAATTAATCTAGACTTCCCCCACCTTTTTGTGTAAGAGCTGGCCATAAAGAAATTCTTTGATGTACCTTGTCATAAGACCCTGGTTCCAAAAGGGTCTTGCCCTACATTCAAGAAGAAGGAAAGCTACACAGAGAGGCCAACAAGAATCTGAACAGACAGGACTTGCTGGGTTCCTCCTTCAGTCTGTTACCATTAGATCATACTCCTTTTGTCCAATCACATTTCTACACAGCTGTCCTTTCTTCATCTCATGTAAGCATAAAAATGGACAGCTTTCCCTGGGTCTTTGGGTCTTCATTTCTGAAGGCACTTACACCACATAAAACTGTGATTCAATAAATTAGTTATCCATTTATCTTGTTAACCTGTCTTTTGTTATGGTAATGTCAGCTGTGACCCTTAAGATGGGTAAAGAAAAGTATCACACCTTTTCCACCCCTACATTGCACATTAGGATGGTTCCAATTTTTGCTATTACAGATACAGCTATAGTGAATAAACTTGGAAATTTATACAATGCAGGTAAATATGTAGGACACATTTCTAGAAACAGAATTGCTGAGTCAAAGTATACACATGTGTAACATTTCACAGATATTGCAAATTGTTCTCCATAAGCTGTCCAAATGTACACTCCCACCAGCCTGTATGAGAGTGCCTATTTCTCCACAATTCTCAAAGTGTTATCAAACTTTTTAGTAGATATCAATCTATTGATATCTGTTATCAACTGGTGAGAAAAAACATGTAGTTAAATTTTTCATTTATTTTCAGATAAATGATGTTGTCTGTTCATATATTTAAGAGCCCTTTTGATTCCTTCTCTATGAACTGTGTTCATATTCTTTGCCTCTTTGTTCTATCGGTTGTTAGTTTTTCTTAATGAGTTGTGAAAGTTCTTATATTAAAAAAAAAAATTGGTCCTCATCCAAAATACGAGTTTAAATATTTTTATTGTTCACATTTAGGTTATTTTTATTTGTATATGTTTTGTGACAGCTTAGAAAAAATTTCAGGTAGACAGATTTGTCCGTCTTTTATGGCTTCTGTTTTGTGTCATACTAGAAAAATACATCCATTCTGAGTTTTTTATTTTATTTCCCATTTTTTGTTTCCTAGTGCTTTTATTGCTTTGCTTCTTATGTGGAAGTCTTTGAATCATTAGGATTTTGTTGTCAAGTTAGAGTTTATTTTGTTTGTTTTGTTTTGTTTTTTGAGACGGAGTCTCTGTCACCCAGCCTGGAGTGTTATTTTGTTTGTTTTGTTTTGTTTTTTGAGACAGAGTCTCTGTCACCCAGCCTGGAGTGCAGTGGCGAGATCTCGGCTCACTGCAACTTCCGCCTCTGGGGTTCAAGCGATTCTCCTGCCTCGGCCTCCCGAGTAGCTGGGACTACAGGCGTGTGCCACCATGCCCTGCTAATTTTTTTGTGTTTTTAGTAGAGATGGGGTTTCACCATGCTGGCCAGGCTGGTCTCGAACTCGTGACCTGAAGTGATCCACCTGCCTCGGCCTCCCAAAGTGCTGGGATTACAGGCCTGAGCCACCGCGCCTGGCCTAGAGTTTGGAATGTTTATCATTTCGGAATTGGGCTTGGTTGCTGACTACTTATCTCCTAGTTGCTCTTCAGTTTAGCTTCTACCTCAGACTCTCCATTGGACCTTTTGTTACCAAAATTACCACTTCCTCGATGCTAAATTTAATTGACCATTGTCTGTCTTGACTTCTTAACAACACTAAAAAATGTTGCCCATTCCTTTCTTATCATGCCTTTATTTTTTCTCCTAGCTGTCTAGCCCTTCTTTCTCAGTCTCCTTTTTGAGTTCTTTTTTTCTCCCTTAAATGTTGTGGTTCAGGGTTTAGAGCTGGTCACTAGGTGTACCTTCTCCCTAGGCACTCTCAAGCACTCATATGGCTTCACATACCATTCATGTTTGCTCTTCTGAGCTCCAGAGCCATATATCCAACTGTCTTCTGGATTCTCCACTTTGATATCCCACAAGCATCTCACATTCTAATCTCATCTCACATCCTAACACATTCTAATCTCTTCTCCCAAACTTGCTCCCTCTCAGTGGATGGCATCTGCCAAGCCAGAGTCTAAGGCACCATTTTTGGCTTTTCTGTCTTCTTCTGTCTCAATATTCAATCACTAAATCTTAACAGTTCTACATACTAAGTAGCCAAACCTCCAAACCGCTCCACTTTTCTCCATCTCCTTGGCCACCATCATCTCTTGTCTAATGAAGACAGCAGTGTCCTAACAGGCCTCTCTGCTGCCACCTTCCAGTCCAGTTTCCATTTTGCTCACCTCTAAATCACGGATCTGATTATGTCACACACCTGTATGAAACTCTGCAGTGCTTCCCCATTGTTGGAGACCCACCACAGGGCCCTGAGGCACTTCCTCTGGGGCCCATCACCCATCACTGCCCCGTCCCTTCCAGTCATGTTGAATTGCAGTGCCCTGAACACGCTGGGCTCACATGCCATTCTCTGTGCTAACACGCTCTTCTCCCTCCTTTCCTCTGACAATGCCTTGCCTTCAGTTCTCTGCAGATCTGCCAGCTACCCTGCTGTGGATACTGGGTCCTGCGGTACAGCCCCCATGCCCCCAAAACTGCCCTTTCCCACTCACTGCACCTGTTGACTTGTTTCAGCACTCACATTCCAATTGGCAGTCACTGTTCATTCCTGTCTCCTCTACTGGCTTATCCCCACAGCCTCACTAGATGGCATTGTTGCATGCCCAGTGCCTCGCAGTGCAGGTGCCCCATACATGGCTTGAAGGGGATCAATGAATCATCCCTTCAAAGAACACTCCAGTTGAGGACCCAGTTACACCGCACCACCTCCAGCTTCTCTTCAGGTCAGTTTCTTCTTCCTCCCTCACTTCTGTATTAAAGCTCTCTGGCTTATTAATTTCCTTAAAACTACCAAATAATTACATCATTTCTCTATTCAAAAATAGCAAAGGGCTCCCTGTAGCCATTAAAAGATTTATATTTTACCATAGAATTAGAGATCCAGAGCAGGAGTGAGGGTAGGAGGGTGGGGAGAGGAGAACTGAGGGGCTTTTTTCTTTCTAAAGTCAAGTATTTTAGGTATAATTTACATACAGTAAAACGGACCCTTTTTAGTTGTGATGTTCTATGTATTTGACAAATATATAGTATGCTGTAACCACATCAAATGTATATTTCCATCACAGTGGAAAATTCTCTGTGCTGCCCCTACTCCTAGGCCTTGGCAGCCACTTTTCTCATTTTCTTCGCTATACTTTTGCCTTTTCCAGCATGTCTTTTCTTTCACTCAGCATAATGCTTTGATATTCAACAACATGTTGCATGTACCAGTAATTTGTTCCCTTTTTGTTGCTGAGTCTTTTCCACTGTGTGAATGCAGGACAATTTATTCATTCACCAGTTGGACATTTAGACTGTTTCTACTTTCTGGAGATTATGAAACTGGTATAATTATTTGTGTAAAAGTCTTTATGTAGGTGTGTTTGTATTTGTCTTAGGTGGGATTGTGGGTCTTATGGTAAGTTTAACTTTATTAGAAACTATTAAATTGGACCAGGAGAGTCTTATCCAAATCATTGAAGAGGGGCTGACACTACACAAATTTGAAACCATGTGTTAATCCAAACACCCAGATAAGCAAGTCCAGCTGTGGGAACCCAGTAAACACCAATGACCAGAAACTGCTGAAGCCCAGAGTGTTTGAGGGGAGGCAGTAAAATGGAGACAGCACTGCCTCGGGAGCTTGGACATGCTGCGCACACTGTTCCCTCCCAGGGCATGCTGGTCACTCAGTGGCCTTGGAAACATTGTCTCAGGTTCCCAGGCCATGAATCTCTCTCACCAGGCCATTTGTAACATGGATGGTTAGATGTTAATGTTTACATACACAAAACACAAATTAATAAAATCAGCGTGTGTGTGTGTGTGTGTGTGTGTGTGTGTGTGTGTGTTGGGGGTTTGGGGGACTGTAATATTTAGACAAAAAGAAACAAATGACTTGAACTATATTTCAAATAAATAACATACACAGAAAGGGGGAAAAACCCCAGGTAACTGTGACTATTTAGAAGGCCTTTCCTTCTGTGTTCTGGAGGAGGCAAAAAAAGTTCAGCCTGTTTCAGAAATCTGTTGCTTAGCATTAAGAGAATGAGCGTGGCAACTGTCTGAAGTTCATTTCTTACGAGTTGACACATTCCATGCAAGTACCAAGAGACATAGGAAAGCCCTATAGGCAATTTCTCAAGGGAAAAAAAATCAGGCAAATCTCGGAATTCTTCAAAAGTCAAGTCATCCAGATATTTTCTGGAGTTAACATCCTTCCAGTAGAACAAGTACCTGCCAGCCTTGGGACCCCTCTACTTAGCTCAACCTGCAGTGCCTTCCCCCGACAAGCTGACAAGACTGGCTCCTTTATGCCCATCAAGTCTTCTTCAAATGTCAGCTTATCAGAGTGACCATCAATTCACATGCCCTACTAGGCTTAATTTCTTTACAGCACTTATTATCTGGATTCATCTATATATCTTGTCTGCCTGCCCAACCAGAACACTAGCCTCTTCGGGGAGGGACATTATAGGTTTTTTTCATTTGCGTATCCCCAATTCCTAGGACAGTGGCCATTCTATACATCCTAAGCACTAACTATTCATTGATGATTTACTGATATACATGTGTACAGGGATCTGTTTCTCATGGTGAATGAACACGCTTGCAGTGTGGTAGATAAAATATAACCAAATTAAGTGGCAAACAGGATGACTTTATGATAATAAATAAATTCTGTTTATTTTTTTCTCTCACATAGTTCAAGAAACCAGACATTAGTGTAAGTTGGAGAACATCTGAGTTTGAAAACAGGTCTTTGCCTTAATGGATTGTTGACTAGAAAATCAGAGGCTGACATTCAAATAATATGTTCTGAAGTGTTGTACAACACTTCCAGAAAGACTTCAGCAGACCAAATATTTAGACCACTTTATACTCAGAAGGCCTCTAAATTTCCCACAACATCCTACCAACAATTGCAAATTCTTTTTTTGTTTTTTTTGAGGCAGGGTCTCACCCTGTTGCCCAGTCTGGAGTGCAATGGTGCAATCATAGATCACTGCAGCATCCAACTCCTGGGTTCAAGCAATCCTCCGACATCACCCTCCACAGTAGCTGGGACCACAAGTATGCACCACCACAACCAGCTAGTTTTAAAATTTTTTAATAGAGACAGTGTCTGGCTCTATTGTCCAGGCTGGTCCCAAACCCCTAGGCTCTAGCAGTCCTCCAACTTCAGCCTCCCAAAGTGCTGGGATTACAGGCATGAGCCGCTGCATCCAGCTACAGATTAATTAATTCATTCATTCGTTCTTTATTTTAAGACTAGTGAAGTGCAGTAGTGAGAAGAGGGGAAGAGTAGAACAAGGAGGTTGACCTATAACTGACTGTGACCAATCAATTGAGCTAACTCACTACCTTCAGACCAGCCAAAAATTCATTTCTTTAGAAAAAAGATGAGAATTATTTTCTAAAAACTAAGCAATGGAACCCCTTCAATGGGTAAAGGGAGGTAAAGTTAACTGAATGGCCTTATTCCTACATATTCAAGTTTTATCACAGTTATAAGGTCTGGTAAATTTTAGAGTAGCGCTTCTTAAGCAAGGGGAGCGAGGAGAGGTACATTCCATTAGGAATGTGCCACCCTCACCACCATAGCCTTTTTTGAGACAATGCCATGGTGAGCAATTGTTACCAATGGGAATGTGTCACATCTCTTAAGTGTAGTGAGATACTTTTTAAAAATTGAGACCCATTCCAGTGAGGTCTTCAGCTGACCCCTGCCAACCTTTTAGACTTTCTGAAATGGCTTGGATGAAATTATACTCACATTAGACATCTAATGCCTATCACGTAATACTTAATAATAATTAATATATTTGAACCCTTTCTCATTTTGCAGTGGAAACTTTCAAATCAGTGTGCTGCAAACTGTTGTAAAATTCTGATTTATAACACTGTCCCCAAAAGTATATAATGGGACTAAAGTTTACCAAACTTACTAAAAATGTTATGAAACACTGGATGTTATTTTGTTGATTTAACATTTCATTTTCATCATTAATCATGTGAAAAAGCAACATAAGCAAAGATTAAATAATCTAAAAATCCTTCAAATTGATCACTCATTACTTCATTTCTTACTGAGCTAAACATTATTTTGTTATCTATAAAGTAGAGAATTTAAAACAATGTATGTCTTTGGCATTACTAGAAAGGGGTATTTAAACTTTGTACCTTTTGTTGCCATAAAATTGAAGTTACAGTAAGATGAAATGGAAGCCCACGGCCCTGTTGGTATGGAATTCCACTAATAATGTCAGATTGTTGCCAAAAAAACAAATTTTGTCATGCAGCTTGCAATTAATGTACCAAAAATTTACCAGCCCATACAGTTTTATCATCTGCCTTCCCCAGAGGAAGTAAACAGATAATAAAACTAATGAAATCATATTTCTTGACCACTCTCATCCAATATAAATTGTTACTTGTCCTTAGAGGATTAGACAGTGAGCTATTTACAAGGGCATTCAAATGTCTGGGCTAGTTAATGGTAGAGGCAGTAGTCTAAGATGTGGGGTATTCCTGAGTCAGCAAAGAGGATCTTGCATTGTGAGGAAGGCCCCCTAAGTCATTAACAAGTGCAGATCAGGGTTTGATGGGCCTCTGTCAAAAGTGTTTTGCATCCGCATTTCTGTGTTCCCTGAAAACACCATGAAATACTGAACTTTAATCAGTAATACAACAAATGAGAAAATGCTCAGTGTTTTAGAACTATTCAGAGCAGAAAACTCTGGAACATAAAATGGGGGGGTACGCCTTAGTTGGTGAGTTGCTAAAACTTGAGATCAGGTGAAGCGAAGGTGATAGGTCCAATGCCTTCTGGAATGTGTAACACCAGCAGTTCTTCAAGTTTGGCCTCTGGCCCTCCTGTATTAGAACCATCTGGGAGACTTGCTCCAGTGCAGATCTCCTCTACAAAACCTACATTTAACCTAGTGAAGCAGAACCCCCTGGTTTTCCCCAGGAGTCTGCATTTGTCACAAGCTTACTAGATGTTTCTGATTCACAGTAAAGCTTGAGAACATTATATGTGACCATCCCACTGGCAAGGCCATTAACATCTTATGCATATGGATACTGAATTTTGCAGCATATTTGAAATCTTGAAGCAATATCAAATGTATGACATCCCCAAATATAGTAATTTCCTTTGGTTTAAAAGGTGGCAGATGAGCACAACCAATTGGGATTAACTCAGCCAATTCTTAGAGTTTAACACATTTTACCTGCACCGAATAATACTTTGCAGATCAAACTGGCAACCAGAAAACAGCATAACAGAACACATGACACCCTGCTGTGGATTTTTAAGAAAAAAACTGACGAATTCCAAATCCATAGTGACATGAGAACTTGCACTTTGAAGGCAGAATGGATTTGTGGGAAGAGAGGACTCCCCTTTTGTTCTCCCTTCACTAGGTGGAGAAGGGAAGAAGGTCTCTCCCCAAACAGCTCTCTTCATTCTGGAATGTTTTCCCAGTCCCCAAGGCGCTCAGTGACCAACTTCCTTTCACAGGTCCTCCCAGTGACTGACCTTGACTCATTCTCCCGAAGAAGTCAACAGGCCACTACAAGAGCTCTTGAGAGAAGCTTTGTGACATGAAATTCATCAAATGAAGCAAGATTCATTTTTTTAAAAATATTACAAAGCTCCAGGGTAATATGCTTAATCCAATTGTTTAAATAGAATAAAAAACCCCATTTTAAGTAAATTTAAAATTAATGAAATATCAGTAGTTTGCCTTAACAAGGACTTGCTTGAACCATGTTCTCCTTTTAAAATCACACACACAGAACCAGTGTACATTTGGAGAAATTTCGCCAGCTGAATACCTTTTTGACATGAATTCATTCAAAAGACACCAACCATTATGAATATTTTAGGCCATGGTAAGTTGTAACCGCCTCCAGCTTGGTGTTGCAGCTTTATGTTGACATTTGGCATGAAAAGCTTATGGTCTGAGTCATGTTTCTTTTTTGTGTAATTCTGGCTTGGGAATCCGATACAGAGCAGCTGAGAAATAAATTATGTTGCTGAGGCTGAAGATGATGCACAGAAGTATGGCTCCGGCTATCTGAGAGAAAGAGAAGGGCTTGGAGGTGGCTAGGAGCCATTCCTTCCTCAGAGTCTTGTCCAGAAGTATGGCTTCCATCTGCATATGCGTGGCCAGGATCACACACACGTGAAACAGCTGGTGACTGTGACCTATGGCAAACACAAAAGGCCGTCAAGATCAGCAATGAAAAGGAATGAGTACTGGCTGGGCGCGGTGGCTCAAGCCTGTAATCTCAGCACTTTGGGAGGCCGAGACGGGCGGATCACGAGGTCAGGAGATCGAGACCATCCTGGCTAACCCAGTGAAACCCCGTCTCTACTAAAAAAATACAAAAAACTAGCCGGGCGAGGTGGCGGGCGCCTGTAGTCCCAGCTACTCGGGAGGCTGAGGCAGGAGAATGGCGTGAACCCGGGAGGCGGAGCTTGCAGTGAGCTGCGATCCGGCCACTGCACTCCAGCCTGGGCGACAGAGCGAGACTCCGTCTCAAAAAAAAAAAAAAAAGAAAAGGAATGAATACTGATACATGCTATGGCATGTATGCTAAAAATGATGCTAAGTGAAAGAAACCAGACAGACAGAAGACCACATATTATATGAAATCTCCAGAATATGCAAATCCATAAAGACAGAGAGTAGATTAGTGGCTGCTTCAACAGGGGGTGAGAATAGGGATTAACAGTGCATGGGTCTGATGGAGGGGATGAAAATGTTCTAAAACTGATGTATGGTGAATTTACTGAAAATATCATTAAATTGTATACTTGACATTGGGGAATTATTGAATATGTGATATACACCTTAATAAATTTATTTTTAAGAAGCAATATGGGAAAAATAAAAGGTCCATCAGAGAAAACCAAATCCAAATTCTTTTTTAAAACAACTATCCACCAGTCTCATTTTTCAGATGAAAAAATTAGGCACCAAAGGTCACCTCTGGAGAGCCAGCACTGATCAGCTCAGAGTTTCATTCAATGCTCAGGGAGAAGCTGGCTGAATTTTCTGTTGGCCACTAACCAAGTGGACCTCTCCCTACTGCCAGTTAGTCACAGATATGACTAGGATTCTTCCTCGCCAATGCCATGCTGGACCCATCTTACATGGTGCTCATCACAGAGCCTGGGAGCAGAGTAGAGGGTAGTGGGAGTGACAGGGACAGGGACATGCTGGGTGGTTGGTGGTTGGCGAGGAAACAAGTCCAATGCCTAGGGTCAGGGGCAGCTTTGGCGGACAACCCTCAGACCCCAGGAGTAAGGAGGAGATCACATGTGTCATGGGCTGAATGATGTCCCTGAAAAATACATGTGCTGAAGTCTTAACCCCCAGAATGAGACCATATTTGCAGATAGGATCTTTAGAGAAATAATTAGGTAAAAATGAAGTCTCTATGATGGGCCTAATCCACTGTGACTGGTGTCCTTATAAGAAAAGGAGGTTAGGCCAGGCACGGTGGCTCATGCCTGTAATCCCAGCACTCTGGGAGGCTGAGGCGGGCAGATCACGAGGTCAGGAGATCAAGACCATTCTGGCTAACATAATGAAACCCCATCTCTACTAAAAATACAAAAATTAGCCGGGCGTGGTGGCGGGCACCTGTAATCCCAGCTACTCAGGAGGCTGAGGCAGGAGAATGGTATGAACCCGGGAGGCAGAGCTTGCAGGGAGCCGAGATTGCGCCACTGCACGCTAGCCTGGGTGACAGACAGAGACCTCTCTCTCAAAAAAAAAAAAAAAGAGGTTAGGATACAGACATGCATGTATACAGAGAAAAAGATCATGTAAAGACAGATGGAAAGAACGGCCATCAACAAGCCAAAGAGGAGGCCTCTGGAGAAACCAACTCTGCCAACACTTTGATCTCAGATTTCCAGCCTCCAGAATTGTGAGAAAATAAATTTCAGTTGTTTAGGCCACAACAGTCTGTGATACTTTGTTATGGCAGCCCTAGCAAACTAATACAACATAAAAGTTAAATAAGGATTCTCTTTTGGTTTAAAAAAAATAAAATAAAAAGGCTGGGCATGGTGGCTCACACCTATAATCCCAAAACTTTGGGAGGCCAAGGCAGGAAGATTGCTTGAACCCAGGAGTTTTGAGACCAGCTTGGGCAACACAGTGAGATCCTATCTCTAGAAAAATTGAAAATTTAGTGTTGCACCCTCAGGACCTATCTCAGAAGAAATACGCAATAAATGTGTCCTAGGACTTGATCCAGCCTGGCCACCTCTACTATTGAGCAGGAGCAGAGTTAGGAATAAGAATGTAGAAGGGTTGAGGATTCTCAAGTGGATGTCTGACAAGTTTCCTACAGCAGGGAGCTGTGAGGCCCCCAGTATCTGTCTCCAGGAAGAAGGTGTGCCTGGAGCTGCCATGCCTGCCTTACTCAAGCTATACTAATGGGCTGTGTATGATTTCCAAATGTGTATGTGATGCAGCAAAGTGATTTCATCTCCAGCAGAGAGCTGTGCTCTCAGGACACAGGGCAAAGCAGCGTGGTAACTAGCCACCTTCTCCAGCTGAGGCTCAAACCTGTCTCCACTGGGGCATGAGATAAAAGACAGAAAGAGCCATCAGCATTGGATGTATCTGAAATGTGGCTGCAGCAGGAAGAGTGATTTCAACAATCCTGCCTAACAGGAATAGGGAGGAGCTTCCTCTGGGCCAAACCATGCCAGGCCAGCACTTCCCAGGAAACCTGGGGCTCATGGCCAGAGAGGGATTCCCACCTCCAGCAGACTCTGTTAGTTAAGGACTGAGAATGTCCCAAATCTTGTTAATAATCTGTCATGAACTATTGTCTAGGAAATGTCCCCCAGAGGGGTGTTTTTCAGTTCTGTATCCCTAGGCCCAAGAAGATGGGACAGAGTTGAATAAATAAAATGTTATTAAGAAACCTGAGTGGTAGCAAAAGAAGGCCCAGGGCTATTTTTCCTGCAACCCCAAAACTTGCTACACAGACACCTCTACTTCATCAAGGGGGCTGGGGAGGTGGACATGGCAGTCAGGATGCTGGTCACTCCGATTCCCTGGCCTCTCCTTTTCCTCCTTTTTGGAAATCTGTTCTCTAAGCATTTTGCTAGTTACAACCCCTTCTGACACAACAAAAGTGGGAAAAGAGATAAAAACTTTAATCAGATCAAACAAACTGCATCTGGCCACATCTCTTAGTGGGAGGAGATGGAAAATCAGGAACAAAATGGGCTTGGAGAGAAGCAAGCTTCCCACCCTGGTGGGGACAATGACTGGTCCTTTGATTCCCAGGTACTCATCTAAGGAACTCTCACCCCAAAGTCTTGTCATCCTCACCAGAAGTGATGCAAGGATGCCTCCTCCTAGCCAGTCCCAGAGCCAGAGCAGAGGAGGCACATTCTGCAGGGCCCCGTCCCTCCTTCCCTAGACAGAGCGGGGAAAGAACTCTGCCAGCAGGTGGAAACCCCCGTGACTCCGACACCTTCTCTCCACCACATCCTCTGGAGCTTCAGTGAGCTCAGGTTCATCTGGAGGATGACTCGGCCTCTGTGTGAGTATTGGGTTTCACTCTTGGAGTTTCTGGTTCAGGAGGTCCGTGGTGGGGCCTGAGAATCTGCATGTTCTCAGATGATGCTGATGCTGCTGGCTGATGACCACCCCTTGAGAAACCACTGTTCTACCATGAACTCCTGGCCCCCTCCTGCCCACCATGCTCAAGACAAAGAAGGATGCTTTCCCCTTTTCCCTTTCCTGCACAGCCCCCTGTTATCTGGTACCCTCAGAGCCATCTTCATCCTGTCTTTCCTCTTCCTGTCCTCGGCTGCCCCCAATGTACTTTTTTTTTTTTCTTCAGATAGGATCTCTCTCGCCCAGACTAGAGTGCAGTGCACCATCATGGCTCACTGCAGCCTCAACCTTCCAGGCTCAAGCCAACGCCTCCTGAGTAGCTGGGACCACAGGCGCACGCCACCACACCCGGCTAATTTTTGTGTTTTTTGTAGAAACAGGGTTTCGCTGTGTCGCTCAGGATTGTCTTGAGCACAGGCTCAAGTAATCTGCCCACCTTGGCCTCCCAAAGTGCTGGGATTACATGCGTGAGCCACCACACCCAGCCCCAATGTTCATTTAATAATGAGATCCATGTTCTGGATGACCATAGGACACACTGGCTCCATACCCCATCAGAATGCTTTAGGCTCCTGGGCCTACCTGCCCTTCATCCTGCCCATACTACCTAACAGTGCACCTGCTGCGGACACCCTGGCCTCTGTCAACTTGCAGTGGTACTCACCTTGGCCTCTCTCCCTGCCCCTCCCTGCCCTTTGCAGCTCCATGCGCTAGAGTCAGGGACAGGACCCTGCCCAGCCAGGTGGGCAATAAGCAGAGCAGCAGGGCTGTTGCCCACTCACCGATGTAGTCAAAGCGTCCTGGGGCTAGGCGCTCCGGCAGGTGTGCAGAGTACAAGAAGGAGGCCAGGAGGGTCATGATCATGTGCTTCTGGTGGTAGGAGGTGGCTTCATTTTGTGCACTCTCCCCTGGGAACAGGAATAGCTGCAGGTATTTAAAGAAATATCAGGTCTTGAGAGGACAGGCCTGAGGCAGGCCCTCTTCCTTCTCAGCACCTGCCGCTGGGACTTTGGGGGCTCTGACACCCACACACGTCAGCACACACACAAACTCCAGAGGCCAAGGCCCTCACCTCCTCAGGTTGTGGCCTGGGAGAGGAAACTCAGGCACCATGTGAGCGGAACTCCTATCCTGAGTGTGGTCGATTGAGACTCGAGACTATTATATTTCAGTCCCCCAAATGCTCATGAGAGTCTTTTGGGTTATTTACTTACTGAAGCGGGGAGAAAAAGGAAAGAAGGAAGGAATGGGAAAGGAAAAGAAAGACAAAAATCCTACTAGATAATTGGTACTCTTTCTGGGGGTAAAATGTAAGTACAATTGACTCTTAACATACAGGCTAGGGGCACTGACCTCCTGCAGTCAAAAGTCCATGTACAACTTTGACTCCCCCAAACTTAATTACTAATAGCCTCCTGTTGACTGGAAACCTTACCTGTAACAAACTGCCAATTAACACATATTTTGTATATGTATTATATACTGTATTCTTACAGTAAAGTAAGCTAGAGAAAAGCAAGTGTTATTGAGAAAATCCTGAGGAGGAGGAAGAAGAAAAGGGGTTGGTCTTGCTGTCTCCTGAGTGGCGGAGGTGGAAGAAAACCCATGTATAAGTTCAAACCCATGTTTGAGGGTCAACTGTATAGGGGATTCACGCTGGAACTCACTTTTTATCAGCACATCCACTGAACTGGTGCTCCTAATTAAGGCTTTAAGGCCTAGAAATCCCTGGAAGGCCTTCTGAGTCATCCAAAAGTATCAATCATGGCCACTATACTGTTTCAGAGCTAAGTGTAGTTTTTGTATTATTGTTATAAACAGTCATAGCAGCCGCCACTTACCGAGGGCAGCAAGCCAGGCCTCTTACGTGCATCATTTCACCTGAGCCACAATTATCATAAGGCAGACTCCATTTTCCCCATTTTGCAGATGAGGAGAGTGGGCCAGAGAGTGACTTGCATATCACTTAGTGAGAAGTGAAGTCAGGATCTGAATCCAGGCAGGCTGATTCCAGCATCAACATCGGCACTTAGAACTGGACCTCCCCTTCCCTCTGCCCTCCTCTGACTCAGCCACGTGCCAGAAGCACGCAACACTTGTCACAACACAGGACTCACACTGCCTGATTTGGAGGCACATGGGACAGAATTGCTCTGTCTGCTCTTGGTTTCCTGTGTGTGGTCTGCGCCCTCGAGGAAGGAGTGAGGGGAATGGGCTACAGCCCCATCTTTGGTGCTCCTCCAGACCCACAGAGGCAGAGCACAGAGAACGTGCTCAATGCCCCAGCTGCTGGGTGGAGCTCAGCCCCTCCCCTTGTCCCTCAGCCCTGCCATCTGGGCTTTATTCTTCAAGCCCACAGGACACCACCTCTGGGAGGAAACTTCACTCACCAGGTACTGGATAAGCACTGCAGAGCCTATCAGATCCATTGTTTTGATTAATCCTCATTACCCCCTACAAAGGAGGGCTGGTACCCTCATGTACAGATGAGGAAACTAATTTGAGGCTCAGAGAGTTGTGTGCCCTGCCTGAGGTCACACAGCCAGTGAGCAGTGGGACTAGAATTTGAACTCAAGCCCATATGGTTTGAAAGTGCATGGACTTTCCCCTTCTTGTCCTACTTGCTGTCCCTACTATAACCTCTTCCTTTATGCTCTCCATCTCATTCCCATTGCTTGTTTAAGACCCTCGTTCATGCCTTTTCATTCAATATTAACAGTATACTGCTTGATGATGGAACAATGCATTCCCAAACTCTTGCTAACAGTCAGCACTTTACATGTTCTCCGTGTAATCCTCCCCACAGCCCATGAGGTGTTATCAAGCCCAGCTTACAGATGAGGGATATTGAGGCATAGAGAACTGGCCCAGGGACTGACAGCTAATATTGGAGACCTGCCTGCAGAGCTCACTCTCCTGCTCACTCCACTCAGCCCCAGGCTGCCTGCTCTGCCTGGCTCTATGACATTCCTGAGCCCACAGTCATATTGTCAGTCAGGGCCTCTGTGCTTATGCCATCTCCTAACCACTCCTCAAGTGCCACCAAGGCAGCACCTGGGTGCAGGCGAAAGAAAGATAGATCAGACTGTTACTGTGTCTATGTAGAAAAAGGAAGACATAAGAAATTCCATTTTGATCTGTACTAAGAAAAATTTTTCTTATTTCTTTTCTCAATCTCTCGTCCCACCTGACGAGAAATACCCACAGGTGTGGAGGCGCTGGCCCCCTTCACCTAGGTCTTGACTCCTGTTTTGTTCTACAGTTCCCATTGCAGTGCTGTGACCCCCAGAAGCTCAGTAAAACAACTGACTTCCTGGTGTTGCCAACAGGCAGAGAGGAGATACAGCCAGTCCTTACCCTGTAGAAGATGGGCAGGGAGTCCCACATGTACGGATAAGCAAAGGCGAGCACACGAATCACCTTACAGAGTCTGGGCTTCTGGATTTCAAGAAACCTAAATGAGGGAAGGAAAGTGGGGAGGAAATGGAATGAAAAGAGTCTCAGTAAATTGCACACGCACATGCGTGCACACCGAGGGCCTGGTCATCGACAGAGGACAAGCATTTTTGTACAAGCTCCTGTGGCCAGCAGCTTCTCCACCAGCCTCATCCATTCCTCCCACCCCAATGGAAGTGACAAAACTTCAGATGCAAAAAGATCTCCAGAGACACCACCTCCAGACCATGGGAAGCAGTGGTGTCCAGACTAAGCCAGAAAGGAGGCGCTGGGCAGAAACCCTTTGAGGGCCACGTTACATAACTGCCAAAGAGCCTTTTAAAACTCTAGTTGCTACCAGGACAGGGAATGAGTAGGGAGCTTCAGGGGATCCACTGCCACAGACTTTTGGGGGGCACACTCTGCAAAGGCTGAGATGCACCCATCTAGTTGGAGCCCAGGTATTATCACGCAGGAGGCCTGGGTTGAAGTAGGCATTTGATCCTTGGAGAGCTTTCTGGAATATTTATACCACACACAGGGATACTTGGCTTGGGAAAACTAAATAAACATGAAGTCTTTCCTTCTCTCCTTCGTTGCCACCCTCACCCAACCTCCAATCCAAGACAGCTGACAGCAACATTAAAACAAGTGATGTTGATTGTTGAGAGGCAGGTCCCCCCAGACAGAACATGACAGGACCTCAGCTGACTTGGGCCCAGCCTGGGGCAGCAGCTCAGGGTATGGGGAACTGGGCCGCACAGAGGGCAGGCTGCACACTGGGAGGACATGGGGATGGGCAAGGAGGATCTCTGCACAAAACCACAGCCCTGAACTGAGGCCTGGGTAAGGAAGTGCTCATGGGCCCTGGCTGGGCCACCAAGGCCAGGTAGTAGGGACAGGTACAGTCCCCACATCAATGCTGAGGTGTACTGTGGAGGGCTGTGTCCTCCCTCAGGGCCCACAGGGCTGCAGGGTAAGGAACCCAGCACAGGGGATGCAGAGCCACATGCTGAGGCTCTTGGGATGGCTGTTCTGATGCAGTCTGTAAAGGCAATGCGTGCATTTGGGCCCTTTCAGCCTTTGCTGACAGTTCTGCCCCTCATCACACTGGAGCGATGGGGTCTGGGTCCTGCTGTGGCTCCCACTCTGCTCCCAAGAACCTCGGGCCCAGTCCACAAGCCTGTTCTTTCTCCTTCAAATGCCATCTGCTGTTTCCTCTGAGCCCAGACGCATTTCCCGTGGCCAGGCTGTTCACATCTCGTATGAGCCAGTAAAGCTACCTGACCATAAACCTGGCTGCTGTCTGTATCCCTCAGCATGGAGTATGCAGGGACTTCCACATCGGGCAGTTAGGGAACGCTCCTCAGGCAGGCGCCAGGTCTGGTCAGGCCTGGATCCCGGGGACCCAGCACAGAATCAGGTCTAAGGATGTGGACATTGTCCAGGCTAGTGTGCTCCACTCAGTCCTCAGGGCATCCGAGCACAAACGGCCCACCCAGAGATTCCTGTTTCAGGGGAAAGGGACACCACTGTGTGCCCCAAGAAGCCCCACGGCCTCCCAAGACAAACTCCAACTTCACTCCAGCCCACTTTGGTGTTTCTTCTTTGCTGACCCTGCCTGTAAGTCATACATGGCACCTGGCACGTACCAGGTGAGAAGCTCAATGAGAAGGGACTAGGATGCATCGTCCCCCCAAAAAAGAACCAAACTCTAGGAGAGGTGAGGCAGCAGCACTGTGATTTCATGTGGAGAGCTTGATCGGGACACACTGGGTTCAAATCCTGACTCTGCCCTTCACAACCACATGACCTCGGCTGGTCACTAACCTTTGTGTACCTCCTGATCCTCACGGGTGACACAGGGACAATGACTGTGCCTCGTCACAGCCTTGTTGTATGGATTCGATGAAACGATGCTCGTGAGGTGTTTAGAACTGTGCATGGTACAGTCACACAGACTAAATAGCAGCTTTTAAAAAACATGCATCGTGGAGCTCCATTCTCTCCCCCGCCCCACCTTGTATCGATGTTGGTCCAGAAAATAGGAACAGGAGGGAACAAACAGGTTCTGGGTGATTTGCCTGAAGTCAGATGAGTCAATAAGAAGCAGAGCTAGGATATAAACCCTGGGCTTTCTGGTTCCCAAGTGTCACCCCCTCTGCCTCAAGCAGTAGGCTGGGTAGCCTCAGACTCCGCCCAGCCTTCACCCTTCCCTGCCCACTCTGCCCCTGGAGCAGAGGGCATACACTCCTGCCATCCCGAGAGCCAGGTACCTGCCTCACCGGCCTTCTTAGTCCTCCAGCAGACCCTGCCCGGCCGCGGCAGGCCGCCCCCTCCTGCCCTGTGCCCTGCCACGGCCTGCCCTCTCTGGGTTGAGAGGCTGGCTCTTAAAGGGCCCCTGTGGCCACTTACACTCGAAGAAATCTGGCTCTGGCTGGCGAAGGCCATCCCCCAAAGCATGGATTTTCTGTGACTTGAGACAACATTTCGCTCGGCCTGACAAAGTGTTTCCCCAGGGGCAAACGGACCAGCCTCTCCAGCTGCAAAGCCGAGTCTAGAGGGAAAAGAGGAGAAAAAGCAGAATAGAAGAGAGACAGCAACAGAGAGAAAAAGGCAGAAGGGCCAGTAGCTTGGGAGAAGGGCCGCCCGCTGCCAAGTTGCAGTTCCGCATCAGGCCACGCGATGTCGCCACAGCCAGAGCAGAGCCGCAGCCACAGCATCCTCAGAGGCGCCCCACGCGCGGCCCCACAGCCCAGCCTGCTCGGGCTTAGGGCAGTCCCGCAGCAGAGGGCTAAGGGGCTGCTATACAGGAAGTCAGGTCTCTGCTCAGAACGAGGTTGGCAAGGCACACGGAGTTGCGGGAGAAGCCTTCGTTAAGAGAGGGTTGATTCAACACAGTCTGTTCTAAACCCTGACAACACAGCTGAAAGCACTGGCAACTGGAATTCCGGAAACTAGGGCTTGAAAATAGCGGGCCTTCGGAAAAATCATTTTATTGCAGAGACGCACGCACGAGTGCACGTGTGTGTGTACATAAGGGCGGTGGTTATGGTTGTTTTCTTGTGTAGGAGTTGTCTTATCTTGGAGAACTGCAGGAATGTGGACATTTCCCCATGTCCGTACCTGGCCAATCCTCTGAGAACCATGTCTGCTGAGCCTTCTACCTCCTTCGCTGACCTCAAACCCCTTCCAGGTCAGCTCTACTCCTCTGAGCTGCCTCAGCAACTGCCAAGCTGTCCTTACAGCAGAGCTCATGAGTGAAAATTAATCTCTCGCCCTCACAGCTCTGACCAGCAGGTTTTTCACTCAGCAGCTCTTCGAAAAAAAAAAAAAAAAGCAATCAATAGTTGGACGCATTGGATGGAGATGGACAATGATTTGTGATATACAGCACTCGCTGTGTAACTGACATTCGTGAAGGGAGTGGCAGCCCTTTCCTGTGCAGGCATGAGCAGGCCAGGGCCTCGGCCACCCCCGCCTTGCTCCAAGAACCATGAAGAAGGCATGCATTCTCTCATTTCCCCTCTCAAATGCTACAGAATGAGAAGGCAGTTTTCTGGAACATATTCAGTTGAACCAAAGTCCATGATAGTAAGAACCAAAAACCACTCAGGGTATGACAAAGCTATGTTGAGATTGGCCTTAATGGTCTGCCTTATAATGGAACGAATGCCATTTCAACCCTGATTTTCAGGCAAGCATCAGATAACTATCAAGCTAATACTGAGGTTCCTGGTCTCCCCCTGTGCTCCTGGGAGGGGAAGGTGGTTCTCTCCTGCTCTGCCCAACTACAGCTGGATAGAGCAGGAGGGAGAGGCAGGGGTGGAGCCTGGGGGAGGAAGACAGCTGGGAGAGGAAGCTTGGAGAAGACACTAAGGCATTGGCATTGCAGGATGCCCAAACCAGAGAGGACCCAGAGGATGTTGTTTCAGATGCCCTCACTGAAGATGCAGACCCTGAGGCCCAGAGGGGACAGTGACTGCCCTGAGGCCACACAGCAAGTCTGGGGGAGCAGGGTTGAAATTCAGGCCTCCAGATGCCCAGACCCTCCTCTCTACCCACTTCTCCTGAAGTTACTCAGGGCCAGCATCACTTCTGCACGAGTCAGCTTTCTCACTCTCCAGACACTAAAGGCAGAGATAGGGAGTGAACAGAGTGGAGGACAGCTTGTAAGAGCAGCAAAACCACAGACAGGGGAATGTGGAGCGGGGACGAGGTACAAAGGGCACTGGAAGGGCCACAGCTGGAATGCCCACTCTACCTTTGGGTGCAAAAGTGTGGCACGTGCCCCCTTCCTCCTTTTTGCTTCCAACATAGCCCACCACCTCCCTCTCCCCTCAGCTCCCACTTCTGTGGCTGTTAACATGCCTGGAAACCCCTCAGGGCACAGAAGCTGAGTGCATAGGATTTTTTTTCCCCCTAGGAGACTCTCATCCTTCATGAGCAAAGGACCAGTCCTCATAGGACCCACAAGCCCCCAGCCCACCATCCAAGTCCCTCTGCAGCTGCTCTCCTCTATCCACTCCTGCAGACTCTGGCAACTCTGATGCACCTTGCTGCTTCCCGACCCTGGCCCACCCTCTCTGTAGTCTTCATCCTTGTCCTGGCTGGTTGCTCTGTCCTCCTCTTCAGCTAAAGTGTTCGACCTCCTTCAATATCCAGTCCTAATGCCACTTCTCAGAACCCTGTGTATCTCAGCAGGTGTCATTCTGCCTTATCATTATTTGTTTACACTCCCTCCCGCTACACTCTGAAGGAAATGATGGCCTCATGGGCCTCTAGGGGCATCTGCAGTCTCTCTCCTACAGCACTGGGTGCTCTCTGAAGGCAAGGGCATCCTTCTGGCACCCCCAGCTCCTAACGTGGTACCTGGAGTATGGCAGGTATTTAAGGAATGTTGGATGGGTGGGTGGGCGTGTAGATGCGTGGATGGATGGAATAGCCACAGATGCTATTAATAAATAATCCACTTCATTGGCAAAGGGAGAAGCCCCCAAACTCAGGCACCCAGGAGATGTCTGGCAAAGCTGCCCTGTCGGGTAAGTTCCTCCAAAGACACCAGGCATGCCACATCCAAAAGACCCCATCTGTTATATCTGAACCATCAGGGAAGACTCCTGGCTAGAAGAAAGCAATCTAGGCTGAGCAGGGTGGCTCACACCTGTAATCCTAGCACTTTGGGAGGCCGAGGAGAGTGCATCACCTGAGGTCAGGAGCTCGAGACCAGCCTGGCCAGCATGGCGAAACCCTGTCTCTCCTTAAAAACAAAACAAAACAAAAATTAAAACCAGCAAGTGTTCTAAGAATCTGAATTATGAGCTCCTGGGGGATGATCCACCATCTTGGATCATCCATTCTGGAGACAATTTCTTTTTTTTCTTTGCTCCATTGCCCAGGCTGGAGTGCAGTGGCATGATCTCAGCTCACTGCAACTTCTGCCTCCTGGGTTCAAGCGATTCTCCCGCCTCAGCCTCTTGAGTAGCTAGAATTACAGGCGCCCATGACCACACCCAGCTAACCTTTGTATTTTTAGTAGAGACAGGTTTTCACCATGTTGGCCAGACTGGTCTTGAAACCTGACTTCAGGTGATCCACCCACCTGGGGCTCCCAAAATGCTGGGATTACAGGTGTGAGCCACTACGCCCAGCCTCACCCTGGAGACTTTCTTCCACACTCACGACGCCTTCTCTTCCTCCTTTGCCCTCTCAACCTATGGTGCTCTCCCTGTCTAATCCTAAATTTCAAACATCAGAGTCACACAGCCCTAGGAGAGCCAACAGACAGGAGTAGTGACTGGTCCAAGGACCAGGTCCAAGAGTGTCCAGGTTCCTGGACCATGGCCGGTCCACAAGTCTATGCACCCAGGCCTCCGGGGCTTGCTTCATCTCTGCTGGACTTGTTTCTGCAGCGTTATTACTTTTCTATGTGTGCTACACCTCCCTTCATCCATGGCAGGGACTCCTAGAAAGAGACTTTCACTCCCATGGAAGGCAGCTCCATATTTCCAACCCGCCTCAGCACAGGCGAATGGAAAGCGAGTTGGAACAGGTATTCCCGATGCTGTTTCAGAATCTATCCTTCCATTTAAAAATAAAAAACAAAAACAAAAAAACTGGTTTGTCCTGTTTGTGAAACTTGCCTGCTCTCCCTTGTGAAACTTGCCAGCCCCACACATCCCAAGGGTCACCCAAAGGAAGTTGGAGACAAAATCATTCTGGAAAAGTTACCAGATGGGGCATATTTCACCTCCCTGTTTTTTCCTGGGGAGAGGGGGGCGAGTGGAGGCCGGGAGATCCCACTGGCTCGCTGGAGTTGCCGTTGCGGAGGACAGAGAACTCAGATGTACCTGCCAGCCTACCTTTCCCGACCAGCACCAAAGGCCTCCGGCCCAAAAGTACTGGCCTTGGCACTATTCAGCCAGGGCTGTCACCCCAACACAACCATTTGGGAGATTCCCTGAGTATTTTAGGGAAAAGGAACTTCGGGCAGTTCTCTTCTACAAAGAGCTGAATAAACAGGTGTAGTTATCCCCATAACAACATAACAACATTCTCTACACTCACACCCCAGTGAGTTTTCTTGAAAGAAAGAAAGAAAAAAAAAAAAAAACAGTGGGAATTAGAGCCAGTGAGTTGGGCCTGACTCACAGTGATGAGGGATGCATAGGGCGTTTGAATAACACCATCATCCATCACATATGCCCAGAGGCAGGCACACCCAGTTACCATTAGTGACCGCACATTTGTGGGGCACCTCCTCTGTGCCAGGCTTGTGCTAAGTGTCCTGGGTACTTTACCTGTAATTCTTCCATTTGCCTTAGGGGTATTTGTAACAGCCTCATTTTATAGATGAGCAAACTGAAGTTTGAGGTGGAAAAGCGACTTGTCCAGCAATTGAAACAGCTGCATCATTTGTAAAGCCTGGTACCAAATCAAAGGGCAGGACCTCCTTGTTCAAAAATTATTACAAATTATTAAGAATGCAGCAGACGATCCCAGGAAGGCGAGGCTGCAGTGAGCTGAGATCCCACCACTGCATTCCAGCCTGGGCCACAGACAGAGACCCTGTCTCAAAAAAACAAACAAACAAAAAAAACAGGTCAGGCATGGTGGCTCACGCCTGTAATCCCAACACTTTGGAGGGCCAAGGTGGGTGGACCACCTGAGGTCAGGAGTTCCAGACCAGCCTGACCAACATGGGGAAACCCTGTCTCTACTAAAAATACAAAAATTAGCTGGGCATGGTGGCGGGTGCCTGTAATCTCAGCTACATGGGAGGCTGAGGCAGGAGAATCACTTGAACTCAGGAGGCGGAGGTTGCAGTGGGCCGAGATTGTGTCATCACATTTCAGCCTGGGTGACAGAGTAAGACTCTGTCTCAAAAAAAAAAAAAAAAAGCAGCAGAGTATTAGCAGCAAGTATGAGGCTCTCTGAGCATGGAGGCCTGGAGCTTGCATGCCCAGGAAGCTGGTTTTGCCAGCAATAGGAAGTCCACCTGAAACAGAGTCCTAGGTTCCCAAGCATCTTTTCCACTGAGCCCACTTCTTCCCCAGCTCCCTCAAAGAGTGCAGGGAGCTGCACGAAAGACCCTCCCTCCCCTCCCATCTGAGGTCAGAGCGACCCAGTACCTGGAGTAGCAGGAGAGGCCTGTGCTGAGGACGGTGTTCAGTACAGCCATGGCCACGTAGTAGTTGTGGAAGGTGGTGCACACCAGCGTGTCTGGGAACGTGTATGCAGAATAGGCAATGGCTGAGCCTGGGGAAGAAACACCAGCCTTGGGAGAGGAGCCAGGCCTTGCCACCATATAGGCCCCTTGCAAAGACCGTCCCCAGCATCTGACTTGGCCTCCATCATTCCCATAGTCCTGGCTCTGTGCCCTTGCTGGGGCCATTCCCCCTTCCAGGATGTCCTCCTCTCTCTTCTCTGCCCACCCAAATCCCATCCTGAGAGTTTACTGTGAGCCTAGCTTTGCTTCAAGGGCTTTACATATGTGACATCACATAACACTTCAACCATCCTCCTTCATAACTCTGTACTTATCCTCATTGCACAGATGGGAATTTAATCACTCGTCCAGGGTCCTGCAGCTAGGGAGTTAGCAAAGATGGGCCTCAAACCCAGGCAGGTTAGTGACAGTCCCCGCTTTTAGCCACATGCTGTGGTCCACGATGACAGACCCAGTGAGCCGAGCTCCACTCAGGGTGTGCACATCTCACTTGCCCAGGGACATGGGTGCTCCTGGTAGAAAGATCAGTGTTGGAGGGAGGGCCCTTACTGAGATGAGGATGTCATATCAGCAGCTGGGGGACAGGCCAGCTGAGAGGCTGGGTGTTGCATTGTGTTTTAGGTTTTGGAGTTTGTGAGAGAAGGGTTGCTTAAGGACCTTCTAGAGACCTGTTTGCTGAAGCATTTATTTGGAAGAGCAGGGGAGATCACTGTCCTTTTCAAAGGGGCCAGGTGTGCTTCAGCTGGGGAGATGGGCCTGGACCTGCACCCTCACCTCCTGAGGTCTCCCCCAAGGGAGGCAGCCCAGGGCCTGATGGCCATGCCTAGGACACCTGCCATTCCAAAGACATCAGGAACCATGGAGTCCTAGCTCAGGGCTGAACAAGGCCTTGGGCCGTACAGGTTGATCTCTGTCTTTTATCCCATTGACAGGTGGATCTAGCGAAGCTGGCCACACAGGCAAAGAGGGTGAACAGCAAAGCCTCCTGGTCCCATGTTCCCAGCTCCAGTAGGCAGCGCGCGAGATTTCAGTGGGAAGCTGCCTCCAGAGGGACAGGCAAGGCCTTCGTCTGGCCCCATACTGGGAGGGGGTTCCCTTCTGGACTGGGACACATTCGCTCAGCAGATGCCATCTGGGGCAAGCTGTGGGCCATACAAGAGCCAGGGAGCCTCTGTCCCTGCCCAGAACCGCAGCCAGAAGCAAAAGATCAGAGCCTGAGGGAGTGTGGGGCAGGCGCTCAGGATGGGTGGAGCACAAGGCACAGAAGCTGATCTTGGAACAAAGCCTGGCAGGTCATCTGGGATTCTGACAGGAGCCTGAGGGCAGGGAGGCTTTCAGCTTTGGGTGCAGGCTAAGGAAAGGGAACTTCCTCTTTCAGGCACTAAGGGAGTCAATGAAGGATTTTGATGACCAAAACCTAGTGAAAGCACACAGGATGGCCTGAGGGAGGAACCCCTGGGAGCCTGGGAACACCTGTGGTAGAAGGTGTTGTGGAAGCCTCCAGGGGCCGGGGGAGGTGGAGAAGGCTGTGATAACTGTGCAAGTGAGAGGCCAGGGCCTGAGTCAAGACGAAGGGGCAGTGCCACTTACAGCAGGTAGGAGAGAAGTCACCTGGCCTTAATAACCAATTGGCCAGAGGATGGGCGTGGGCGGGGAGTGAGAGGAAGGGGACCCCGAGGATTAGCGAGGCTTCTGACTGGGGAGAAGGAGTAGGGGCGCGACCATAGTCAGGCTGGACATACAGAACGGTAGCAGGTGTAGGGGCAGGGGCAGGAGCAGGTACAGTTCTTGTCTCATGGCTCTGAGGTGGTGTGGACCTCAGGTAAGAGGTCTACACTGGAGACAGGGCTTCTCCGGAGGTGGGAAGAGATGCACTAGGCTTGGAGGAGATCCCCGGGGAGCCAGATCATGCAAGAGGAGAGGTCAAAGGACTACTTCTGAGCCTCCCCGCCCATGTGTGCTGGAAAGCAGAGGAGGGGAGCCAGCCCAGGGGAGGGGGGACATGGAGGGTAAGAGGGAATCCGGAGGGTGGGAGGGGACCCAGGAGGGAGGGAGAGATGTGACAGGGACCAGAGAAAGAGAGGGGCACTGAGGAGGCCTGAAGTATCCCTGTGTCAATCTCGGCAGTCAGGAGGCTGGGACCCTGGACAGGGGCACGCACATTCCCTGCTCTCTTCTGCAAACCCATCAAACCCTGAGGGTAAGCCTGGCTCACACGGAAAGGGGCAAGGTCTGGTGAATGCTGGGGACTGGACAGCAGAGCACTGAGGAGTGGGCAGTGAAGCGGGAAAATGTGTGTGTATGTGTGTGAGTGTGTGTGTGAGCATGTGTGTCTGTGTCGTGTGTGTGTATGTATGTGGTGTGTGTGATGTGCATGTGTGTGGTGCGTGTGTGTGATGTATGTGAGAGTGTGAGTGTGTGGATGTGTGTGTAGTGTCTGAGAGTATGTGTGCATATATGTGCATGTGAGTGTGTATGTGGTGTGAGTGTGTATGTGAGTGTATTGTGTGTATATGTCAGTATGTGTGGTGTGTATGTGGATGTGAGTGTGTGTGGAGGGTCTGAGAGTATGTGTGTGTGCATGTGAGTGTATTGTGTGTATGTGTTGTGTGTGTATGTGAGTGTATTGTGTGTGTGTCAGTATGTGTGGTGTGTGCGTAGTGTCTGAGACTGTGTGTGTGCCTGTGAGTGTATTGTGTGTATGTGGTGTGAGTGTGTGTATGTGAGTGTATTGTGTGTGTGTCAATGTGTAAGTATGTGTGGCATGTGGTGTGTGTGTGTGTGGAGTGTGTGCATGTAAGTGTATTGTGTATATGTGGTGAGTGTGTGTATGTGTATGTGTGAGTGCATTGTATGTGTGTCAGTATGTGAGTGTGTGTGTGAGTATGAGTGTGTGTATATGAAGAAAGAGGATGAAGGTAGGCTCCTCATGGACCACCTTTTGGGCAAGGAAGACAATAATTGGTTTTCTCACCTAGAATGGGACCTGGAGGAAGAATCCAGAACTCATATCCTTAGGGACAGATGCATGCCCACAAGGGGAGGAGAGGAGAAAAGGCTGGAGGAGGGCGCATCATAGTCAAAGAAAAAGACAAGGAAGAGGGGACAGTCAGTACCCATTTTCACCAGCTTAGGCTGCTGCTCTATTCCTGCACACTCTGAGCATCTCTCTGATTGCTCTAAGCCTCTGGACATATGAGGCTCATGAGCTCACCCTCCTCCTCTTGCCTGGCATGACAGAGACCAGCACTGATGTACTAGAGTCAGTTCATTCTGGCCTGTGAGAGAGCTGAGTGCTGAACACAGCCATCATTAAAAATTAAATCACATAAACTTGCAATTAAATAAATCCTATTAACAAAAGTACTGAGTACTCAATGACTACATCTACTGTATCTGCATGGTGGAATTTCTATAATGGTGTGCTACGCATATCTCTTCCCACCCTTGTGTTCTGTGATGTCATGTTGGTAGGTTGAAGCTGGCCATGATGGGAAGATTTACACCATAGAAACTGGCAAACACCACAGATCAGGGCTGTTGTGGCTAAATATTTAGCAGTGTGCTTATGGACAGTTTCTTATAAAAAACCCACTGGGAACCTGGACAGGGGCACTGGCATTCCCTGGACTCTTCTGCAAACTCATCGAAGCCTTCCAGTGACCTTAGCTCCCAGGAGAAGGGGCAAACAGCCCACTTGCAGGGGAAGGAAAGCAAGAACAAGGCCTCACATACCCAGGCTGAAGAGGTTGACGGCGCCATAGTCCAGGAAGTAGCAAATGTGCCGGGCATTCTTGGACATAGAGCTGAAGGTGTGTGCACAGCTGGACGCAAGCGGGTACACGCAGCTGGTGCACATGTACACAAGCATGGGCCAGGAGTAGTTGTCATTCTTGATGTCTGTCACATACAGTGCAGTCACAAACCTCCATGCAAAGAACCTGGAACACAGAGGGCCCATTCACCTCCACGATGAACACAGAGGGCCCACTCACCCTCCACGATAAACAGAGGGCCCGCTCACCCTCCGTGATGAACACAGAGGGCCCACTCACCCTCCACGATGAGCACAGAGGGCCCACTCACCCTCCACGATAAACAGAGGGTCCACTCACCCTCCACGATGAACACAGAGGGCCCACTCGCCCTCCACGATGAACACAGAGGGCCCACTCACCCTCCATCATAAACACAGAGGGCCCATGCGCCCTCTACCATGAACACAGAGGGCCCACTCACCATCCACCATGAAAACAGAGGGTCCACTCACCATCCACGATAAACACAGAGGGCCCACTCACCCTACACCATGAAAACAGAGGGCCCACTCATCCTCCACCATGAACACAGAGGGCCCACTCACCCTCCACCATGAAAACAGAGTGCCCACTCACCATCCACGATAAACACAGAGGGCCCACTCACCCTCCACCATGAACAAAGAGGGTCCACTCACCCTCCACCATGAACAAAGAGGATCACTCACCCTCCACCATGAACACAGAGGATCCACTCACCCACCGTGGTGAACACAGAGAGTCCACTCGCCCTCCACCATGAACACAGAGGATCCACTCACCCACCGTGGTGAACACAGAGAGTCCACTCGCCCTCCACCATGAACACAGAGGATCCACTCACCCACCGTGGTGAACACAGAGAGTCCACTCGCCCTCCATCATGAACACAGAGGATCCACTCACCCTCCACCGTGAACACAGAGAACCCACTCACCCTCCACCATGAACACAGAGGATCACGCACCCTCCACGATAAACAGAGGGTCCACTCACCCTCCACCATGAACACAGAGGATCCAGTCCCCCTCCACCATGAACACAGAGGATCCAGTCCCCCTCCACCATGAACACAGAGGATCCACTCACCCTCCATCATGAACACAGAGAATCCAGTCCCCCTCCACCATGAACACAGAGGATCCAGTCCCCCTCCACCATGAACACAGAGGATCCAGTCCCCCTCCACCATGAACACAGAGGATCCACTCGCCCTCCACCATGAACACAGAGGATCCAGTCCCCCTCCACCATGAACACAGAGGATCCAGTCCCCCTCCACCATGAACACAGAGGATCCACTCACCCTCCACCATGAACACAGAGGATCCAGTCCCCCTCCACCATGAACACAGAGGATCCACTCACCCTCCACCATGAACACAGAGGATCCAGTCCCCCTCCACCATGAACACAGAGGATCACTCACCCTCCACCATGAACACAGAGGATCCAGTCCCCCTCCACCATGAACACAGAGGATCCAGTCCCCCTCCACCATGAACACAGAGGATCCAGTCCCCCTCCACCATGAACACAGAGGATCCAGTCCCCCTCCACCATGAACACAGAGGATCCAGTCCCCCTCCACCATGAACACAGAGGATCACTCACCCTCCACCATGAACACAGAGGATCCAGTCCCCCTCCACCATGAACACAGAGGATCCAGTCCCCCTCCACCATGAACACAGAGGATCCAGTCCCCCTCCACCATGAACACAGAGGATCCAGTCCCCCTCCACCATGAACACAGAGGATCACTCACCCTCCACCATGAACAGGGAGGCCCACTCACCCTCCACCATGAACACAGAGGATCCAGTCCCCCTCCACCATGAACACGGAGGCCCACTCACCCTCCATCATGAACACAGAGGATCCACTCACCCTCCATCATGAACACAGAGGGCCCACTCACCCTCCATGATGGAAGCTCCTCTTAGATCCTCACCTATCTACTGTCTCCATTCCCTCGCGATGACCAATTCCTTTGTGTTCTCACTTTGGGGAAATACGGTGTGTTAGGGAGGTGGGGGGGGTCCTTTTTTAATTGGGAGGCAGTATGTTGGGAATGGGCAGGTGAAGTAAGAAGAGAAGCTTTATGTATATCTAGTCCAATCCCCTAGCGATTCTCCAGCCTCAGCTTGCATGCTTCCAGGGATGGGGGGCTCATTACCTCCCAAGGCAGCTCTGAGGGCTGGAAAGTTCTCCTTCATTGGCTCAAATCTATCCTCCTTGTATCTATCTCCATTTGGTTGGCCTAGTTCCCTCCACCAGGATCACAGAAAACGTGTGTGTGTGTGTGTGTGTGTGTGTGTGTGTGTGTGTGTGTGTGCACGCATGTGTTTTTTTGTTTTTTTGTTTTGTTTTGTTTTTTTGAGATGGAGTCTCGCTCTGTCTCTAGGCTGGAGTGCAGTGGCACGATCTTGGCTCACTGCAACCTCTGTCTCCTGGGTTCATGTGATTCTCCTGCCTCAGCCTCTCGAGTAGCTGGGACTACAGGGGCCCGCCACCACGTCTGGCTAATTTTTGTATTTTTAGTAGAGACGGGGTTTCACCATGTTGGCCAGGATGGTCTTGATCTCCTGACCTCGTGATCTGCCCACCTCGGCCTCCCAAAGTGCTGGGATTACAGGCGTGAGCCACTGCGCCCGGCTGCCTATCAAATATTTTAAGGCAGTCTTTCTAACCCCCTCCCACCTCCTTGAACTTCACATTAAACAACCCCAGTTCCTTCAGCCATTCCTTGCAGGATCTAAATTTGGCGTTACCACCATCCTTGTGGTTTGTCCTTGCTCCATGTAGTTTATCTGTGTCCCTCTTGTAGGAAGGCTCCTCAAATAGAAACAATGCCCCAGGTGGAACCTTGCAAGCCCAGAGGACAAGAGGACTATTTTCTCCCTCCTCCTCCATACTGTTCCTCCACTAAGAGTACAATCACTTTTCTGAACAGCTAGTCCCACAGCTGACTCTCAGCAGAGCCTAGATCTCTATGCAGAGACACTTCACAATTCTTCACCAGATCTGCCTGACCTGCAATCCACACATGAGGTCCCGCCTGCAGAACACCTCACTTCCACAACCCACGCCTAGAGAGCTGGCTCCCTTTCCCACTAACTCCTCCAAGGAAGGAGACTCTACAAAGTTTTTCATATATAGGAGCTGAAGGAGCGTTGCTAAATCCTTCCAGCTACACTTGTGGTCTCTTCATTTTTGTCCCAGCAGAAGTAAAGCTTAAGCTATTTGCTGTTTCTCAAAACGTATCCTTCAGTCATTTCAATGTTTTGGTGGTCCCATTTCCCTAGGGCATCTTGATCCAGACCTTCCCAAGTCCTTCCTGCTACTCTCTGTTGCTCAGTCAGGATCATCTCTGAGAGCCTGGCACAGTGTAGAGGTGCATAGGCAGTGCTGGGGGTGAGGGGGTGCGGCTCAACCAGCTTGGCTCAGCTGTAAAATAGCAAAAAAATCACCCTACAGGGATCCAAGCATGCAGCACAAGACCCACAAGCAGGGATGGACAGGCCGGTAGCCTTTTAGCAGCTCAAATCTCAAAACAGGCTAAATCAACCATGATTCATCCAGAAAATGGAACACCAGGCAGATGTTCCAAAGTCCAGGAGACATGTAGATTGCAGATGCTGACCGAGTGAGATCTCCAAGGGAGGGAAGTAAGGGGAGGGCAGCGGGGAAAGAGGCAGATGCTGGGGACACTCACAGCACAGATGCTCCTGAGTCCCCAGAAAAGCTGCAGAAGGACACACAGGAAGCAGGTCTCCCTGGCCACTCCAGGGAGGAGAACTGGGGCCAGTGGCAGAGCCTGACTCTATTCCCTTCTGAAGGGTTATAATTTATAAGCACGTATACTTTTAAAAATGACAGATGGCCCCTGGAGCAGGGCTGTGCTGCCACCCCTGCCCAGTCCGCAGGCCCAGGGTTGCCACGCCCCTTTACAGATCACCCTAGTCCACACCAGACTGAGCTCTCTCCTCTCTCCACTGAGCTGGCTGCTGGAACCAAACAGCCTGCCCCTGCATTTTGGCCCTGGGTCTGTCTTCTGATTTTTAGTCGGGCTGGCTGCCCCTGTGCGGGGAGCCTGGGCCCATCTGCACGCATGGCACACTCCTAATCTCTTCTCACCGTGACTAGAGGGAGTCCAGTGACCAGCCTGTGACACAGCGCCCCTGCATGACATAAGGAAGCCACCCCTTCTCTCGGCTGTGTCTATGTCGACCAATGGTGGTCTGAGTGGGACAGTGGCTTGAATGGCCTCTGAGTTCTTCCAGCTCAGATCCACTGTGATTTGGTGCTTTGACCCTGTCTCCATCCTCCATTCATTAAGCAAAGGTGCGCAGTGTGTGACATTGGCCTTCATCCCCCACCTTTCTCAGCAAGGCCCCTCTTCGCTTCCCTGGCAACTCCCATTTCTGCGCACAGGCTTCCCAGAGCTTTGCTCTTAGCTGGCTCCACCTACAGGCTGCCAGATGAAGTGCCTCCCAGTTGCCATGGTTCCCAGAATGATTACGGAACACCCACAGCTCTGTGCCAGATGCTTCTACCAATGTTTTCTCCCGAAACTCTCACAGCAACCCTTGGGGAGGTGCGGACCATCACTCCTACTTTGCAGGTAGGAAAATGTGAGGCTCAGAGAGGTTGACTTCCTCAAACTAGTGACATTTTAACCAAGGCTCCTGAAAAACCTGGAAAGTCTCCAAGACTGAAGGAGGTGAAGGTAAATGCTATCATATCAGGCATGAGAGCAGGGAGCCGGGAAGGACTGAGGCACTTTTGGGATTTCCCCTCAAATCCTACCCCAGTCCATGCCTTAAAGGTCATCCCAGTGGCACACCCAATGTCTCTTCCCTCTGTCACACACCCCCTTCACCTGTGCATACCCATGGGGGATCCCCAAACCCCAGCACAGAATCTCAGCCATCTCAACACTAGCTGTGTTAAGACTCCCTGGTCTCCAGGGCTTCTGAAGGAGACAGGCCGGTCAAGGGGGCCAGAAGGTACCAGAAGGGCAGCAAGTGAGTCCAAATGTTGAGAGTCTCATTGGTCATTTGGAAAAGGCTGAGGATACAGGCAGTGGCAGAACTCTGTGGATGGCGGTAGCCGAAGAGGATGCCTTGCTCATGGAACACCTGCAGAGGCAAAAGGAAAAGGACACTGAGGTGAGACCAGAGGGCAGCACGAAGGTCTCTGGAGGGACATCTTCCAGGCCGTGCACTGTGTGCCTGGAACGCTTGACCCCAAGTCCTTGACCTGTTAAGCTGTTCCCCTCACTCTCTCCTTCCCTCACAGTGGCTTCTAAAATCCCACATCCTCCAAGAAGCCTCCAGCCAGCTGGAGGAGGGAATTCAAGGGCCAGCCTCCCTTTGGGAATCCAGCCTGTCTTTGCATTCCCTGGCGTACTTACTCTTGGCATGAATCTTGCCTAAGAATCCGTTTTCCTACCCCTCTGCCTGGGGCCTACAGCCCGGTTTTTGGACGCCGTTTTGGTGAGCTGACATAGATGCTGTCTGTCTGAGCCGGCAAGCCCTGCATGTCAGGGGCTGGTGGGAAGAACTCTGCAGAAGATGTCCCCGGTGCCAGGATATATTCACCAAGGTGCTTCATAAAGGGCTTTTGATGATGAGGACCGTGATGCTGATGCCTGGGCTGCAGGAAGAGGAGGTGGCTGCCCACAGCACGGCTACTCAAACCACTGCCACCCCCATGCAGCCCATTTGGCAAGTCCCCCCCCCAAAAACACCCCCACTGAGAAACCTGGACTGATCAGGTGAAATATGGCGTATCAACCTGCCTGGAGTATTGTATTATATCCACTAAAAGTGGTGAGAAGATAATGAGGCCAGAGGGACAACAGCCCAGGATGCAATAAGAAGTGAAGAAATGTGGAATTTAAACTGTATTCCTGCCACGGTTAGAAGAGCTTGGGAAATTGAAGCTTACACCGTGGGGCAGAGGCTGGGAGGAACATAGAAAAGTGGTGTTTAATTTGTTGAGGTAGTAGGATGGAAGGAGACCTGTTTTCCCCTTCTCTGTTGATTTAGACCAAGGGTTCTCAATTTTGACACTATTGACACTTTGGGCCAGATCATTGTTTGTTGTGGGGGCCAACCTGTGCATCCTTTCACAGCATCCATGGCCTCTATCTGCTAAACGCCACTAGCCCACACTGTCGGCACCCTACCCCCCAAGTTGTGACAAACAGAAATGTCTCCAGATATTGCCAGATGTCCCCTGGGGGCTAAAGTTGCCCCAGGTAAGGACCACTGATTTAGATAAGTGTTGCCATACCCTTTGAAACCTAAATTATAAATGAGTAGGGTAATTGAAGCAAATAATAACAATGATAATGTTAGTAATCATAACCTAAATCAGGTCACAATAAGTTGCAAAGCCTCTCCTTTGAATTTCTAGGGCTGTGAGGGGAAGGCTAGAGGAACTTCAATCTAGCCACCCATTTCTCATTTGGGGTGCCAACATCTTAGTGTAAGAGAGGTTCTCTGTTAAAAAAAATGTACAATATATAATACCAGAGTTTGTGCTATCTCTTTTTTGTTTTTTTTTTTTTTGAGACAGGGTCTTGATCTGAAGCCCAGGCTGGAGTGCAGTGGTGCAATCATGGCTTACTGCAGCCTCAAACTCCTGGGCTTCAAATGATCCTCCCACCTTAGCCACCTGAGTAGCTGGAACTACAGGAGTGCCACCATGGTCAGCTAATTTTTTTATTTTTTTTTATTTTTTTTGTGACGGAGTCTCACTTTGTTGCCCAGGCTGGAGTGCAGTGGTGTGATCTAGGCTCACTGAAACCTCTGCTTCCCAGGTTCAAGCAATTCTCCTGCCTCAGCTCCTCAAGTAGCTGGGATTACAAGCGCATGCCACAACGCCTGGCTAATTTTTTGTATTACTAGTAGAGACAGGGTTTCATCATGTTGCCCAGATTGGTCTCGAACTCCTGACCTTAAGTGATCCACCCACCTCGACCTCCCAAAGTGCTGCTGGGATTACAGGTGTGAGCTACCATGCCCAGCCTAATTTTTTATTTTTTGCAAAGACAAGGTCTCACTATGATGCCCAGACTCATCTTGAATTCCTGGGCTCAAGTGATTCTCCCATCTTGGCCTCCTAAAGTGCTGGGATTAGAGGTGTGAGCCATTGTGCCCAGCCTTGTGCTATTTCTTGGGGTTCCAAGTCAAGTAGTCACATGGAACAGTGCAGAAGGTGAGGGGCTGCCAGAGTAATGAGTCAAATCTGGGCCCCCAAGGCGCCATGTGGCCTTGAGAAAAGTGAAGCTGAGGCCCTGGGTCACAGCTCTCAGGGCCTCTGTGTAAAATGAGAGGGCTTGGCTAGCTGAATGGTCGGAACATTCCCTTCCAGCAGTAGCTCCAAGTTTTAGAGAACTCTTAGTTCAGTTCTGGGTTAAACTGGTCAACTAGAGGGAGGGGATATAATGAAGTTGGCTCATGGTCCAATGAAGAAATACTATGAATTCGGTTTGGGTCTTAGGTAATTAAAGCGATTTGTTCCAGTTTTTGATTCACCATTCAATTCTGCTGACGCCCCGGTTTATGGTGGACAGATTCCTATAATGGGCAGCAGGAATCTTGAGTTGCAGATTTCCACCCCACCAAGGCTGATGATAAGGAGGCAAATAGGCCAATGGCCTTCAGCCTTTGATCCCTGTGGAGGAGGACGGCATGTGCTTGGCGGGACTCAGAAAGCCTTCTAGCAGAAATAACAGCTCCCAGGAGCTCCACACTGGGTCTGTCCTTCTACCTTTCAAGCTTCTTTCTCTCTTCTTTTAAAGTCGTTGTTTTATAATTATTTATTAAAGCACTGGCCACTGGTTACAATGCAGACTCCATTAATCACTATTTATTCCTTCATATGAATTAGACTAGCAGATCCTATAAACCAAGAGACTTTGTGACAAGGGACCAGTGAGAGCAGAAACATTTCAGAGCACTGGGAATGTGGGGACAGTGGCCTGCAGGGAGGAGGTGGGGCAGGGCTGCAGGAGAGCACAGACCCTGTGACAGCCACAGTGGCAGTGGCTAAACAGAAGCTGGAGGAAAAGGTCACTCACAGTCTGTGACTACTTCCCTTCTCTCTGTGGATCCCGGCATTCCAGCAGGCAATACCGGGGGGACTGATGTCGTCAAAAGCCAGCGGGGAACAGAAGGGAAATCCATACACTGGACAACTTGACCTCATTTAGGAATCTGGCCCCAGACCTGGGGAGGATATTTTACCACCAAAGCCAGGGCTGGGCCCAGATTAAAAACACCTGCCTCCATCTGACCTGCTACGCTGACCCCAGAAAAGGATGGGAAGCCCAATACTGGCCATGCAATAGGGGCAGGATTCAAAGCAGCCCTTCCAAAAAAATAAATGGATGGATAAAGTGTAGTAAAAGGAGTCCCTCTGTCCAGGGACAGTGATGTTCCAGCTTAGACTAAGAAGACTGACCTGTCCCTGCCCTCCCCAACTTGAACCTCTGTCTATCAAACCCCATTGCTAGTTCTTAGTTGTGCTCCTGCCCTGAGCTCCTGTGAGCGCAGGAAAGGAGAAACATTCTCTCCGTCTTCCCACTCCAGCCTTAGCAAAGTGCTTCGCCTAGAGCAGACCTTCATGGAATGCAGGGTACATACATTGAAAGGACAAACTAAATATTTGACAACAATTTTGTATTCCAAACCCAGTTTGACCCCAAAGGAAAACTGCAATCATTTCCTCAACACTTCGTAGCTTGGCCTCATTTCTAAGCGCCCCCAAGTAAGCAAGTGCTTGCTTATTTGCACAGCAGAATTGATTTGTAGGACTCCACCTTGCACCCCTAGTTGCAGGCTGAGCAATTTAGAGTGAAATGAAATCAAATTATATGCAGCATATTATTTAGAACTGAGAACCTCCAGGAACTGGGAGCGGAAGGGCACATCAGCAAGTTTTCCCTTTCAGTTCCTGCCCCAGGCTCAGCATCGAGGAAAGTCTTCTTGCATGGCCAAGACTTGCATGCACCTGCTAGCTGATGCCTACAATTCCACCGTGACAGTTAAAAGCTTTTGGTTTTTCTAGCTATTAAACTGCAAACCACCTGGAGAAAATAGCTGGGCATTTTTGGCCAGCTGTAAATAAGGGCAGATTTTGATAGCGGGGAAAGGGAAGAGGCAGAGTGGGATCAGGGGGCTTCGGGCGCTATTCACATGAATTCTGTGATTCCTGCTCACTGAATCCTCACAACCAGCTTGTGAGGAAGAACCTATTATTGTCCCCATTTCACAGAAAAAGAAACTGAGGCCTGGAGAGGTTAGGGCACTTATTTAAGTTCTCAAAAGTAACAGAAGCAAAGCTGAAACCTAAATGCAGACAGCAGGCTCCATTCCCTGCCCTCTTGTGCACTATCCTTCATTGCTTCCCCTGGGGAGGGCTCTGTCAAGAGATAAAACCCCTATCCCCCGGCCTGTACTGTGATTTTGGACTGTGACATACTTCTCTGAGCCTTAGATTCTTCTTCTTTAAAGTGCCATTATGAACTAAATCTGGGAGGGAACTGTGTCCCTCCCAAAATTCATCTGTTAAGTTAAAGTCCTAACCCCCAGGACCTCAGATGCAACTGCATTCAGAGATAAGGTCTTTCAAGAAGCCATTAGAGTGGGTCCTAATCCAATCTGCCTGGTGTCCCTCACAAGAAGAGGACATTTGAATTCACAGAGAGACACCAGGGATGAGCGCCCACAGAGTGGTGACCTTGTACAGAGGCAGCAAGAGAGTGGCCATCTGTAAGCCAAGGAGAGAGGCTTCGCCCCTGTCCAAACCTTGATCTTGGATACCTTTCAGTCTCCGGAACTGTGAGAAAATAACTTTCTGTTGTTTAGACCACTCAGTCTGTGGTATTTTGTTGTGGCAGCCCTAGCAAACTAATACAAGCAGTGAGGTTGTGCAAGCCAGCGCCTCTCAAACTTTCTTCTAGTGTGTGCAGAGCACCTGGGCACCTTACTGCAGTGTAGTGGCTGGGGCAAGAGTCTGCAGTTCTAATCAGCTCCCAGGGCCTGCTGATGCTACAACTGCCTCTGGCTTCAAAGCCAGACTCCCACCCTAGCATCGTGCTGTCACCTTCCTGCCCAGAATCCAGTTCCCTACAGAAGAGGAAGTTCCCTCTACGTAAGAGGGACATGATGACAGGGAAGGCCAGGACAAGGAATAGTTAGAGGCCAGTGGGGAGTCTGATGAGGTGTTTGCTGGCAGAGGGCAGGGGAAGAATGAGAGGGAAAAGGGGGAGGCCATGCATTGATGCAGCAATTATTATTATTATTATTATTATTATTATTATTGAGACAGAGTCTCACTCTGTTGCCCAGGCTGGAGTGCAGTGGCACGATCTCGGCTCCCTGCAAGCTCTGCCTCCTGAGTTCAAGTGATTCTCGTGCTTCAGCCTCCCGAGTAGCTGGGATTACAGGCACCTGCCACCATGCTCAGCTAAATTTTTGTATTTTTAGTGGAGACAGGGTTTCAACATGTTGGTCAGTCTGATCTCGAATCCCTGACCTCAGGTGATGCACCCACCTTGGCCTCCCAAAGTGTTGGGATTACAGGCGTGAGCCGCCATGTCCGGCCTTGCTGCAGCAGTTATAACCTGCTGGTTATGTATATCATTTGCTGGGTACCTGCGATGCACCAGGCTCTAGGTTGGACAGTATGCCACGTCACTTGCAGGACCATGCTTAGTTCCTGCAGGACAGAAATACTTAGGCTCTCAATTAAAAGAGCATAAAACAACAATTGCACACCACACACATGCAATTACTAGAACTTTAAATAGGCTGAATTAATAGCCAACCATTGTTGGTATGAAACAATTACAGGAAAATGCCAATTTACAACACTGCTGTGATGTTTTTTAAAAAAACAACATATCCAATATTCAGTCAGGCATAAGAATGCTTTTTGTACATGCAGTATAACATTTACAGAATACAATGGTAAGTCTCTTCTGGCTGAACATGTAAGATGGATAAAAAGTAATGAAATAAATGATCAATATCAGAGATGGAGGAACCAAAGGATATTAATAATTTAATGGACAATAAAGTTAAAAAATGATACACAAAATGTTTTTAAAAAGTAAATAGCACTGGGCATGGTGGCTCACACCTGTAATCTCAGCACTTTGGGAGACTGAGGTGGGCAGATCACTTGAGGTCAGGAGTTCGAGACCAGCCTGGCCAACATGGTGAAATCCCATCTCTACTGAAACTACAAAAATTAGTTGTACATGGTAGCACATGCCTGTAGTCCCAGTTACTCTGGGGGCTGAAGCAGTAGAATCGCTTGAACCTGGGAGGCAGAGGTTGCAGTGAGCTGAGATCATGCCATTGCACTCCAGTCTAGTCAACAAAGTGAGACTCTGTCTCAAAAAAAGAAAAGTAAATAGGACTCAGGTAGTGTGTACTAGGGAAGAAAAGTCCTATTGAATGACTAGCATTATAGACAGTATTGATCTACAGCAGAAGAAAGTAAGAAAGTTGAAATAACAGAGCAATTCCATTGGTTTTACATTTGTTGTAAAAATGCAGTCTTTGATTTAAGAAGTAGAAAAACGATTTCCAGTTTTAGGCATTGATTTCCAAAGCTGCCATGGGCAAGCTTGTGATAATAGTGTAACATGGTTGCTAACTCTGCAGTAGGCAGAATAATGGCTCCCCAAAGATGTTCACATCGTAATTGCCAGAACCAGTGAATATGTTAGGTTACACAGCAAAGGGGCAGTAATGTCCCAGGTGAAATTGAAGTTGCTAATACACTGACCTTAAATTAGGGAGATTCTCTGGTTACCGAGTGGGCCCAGTATAATCAAAAGGTCCTTAAAAATGGAAGATGGAGGTAGAAAAAGAGACTCAGAGGAAAAAGTGACTACAGAATAAGGTCAGAGAGATGCAACATTGCTGATGTGAAGATGGAGGAAGGGGCCAGGAGCCAAGGAGAGCAGTCAGCCTCTAGGAGCTAGAAAGGTAAGGAAACAGATTCTCCCCAACAACATCCACCAAAATCTAGATTTTACCCAGTGAGCCCCATGTCAGACTTGTAACCTACAGGACTGTAAGATCATATATTTGTTTGTTTTTTGAGCCACTAAGTTTGTGGTAATTTGTTACAGCAGCAACAGAAAACTAATGCAAGGTCAGAATTTGACCAAAAATCCAGAAGTATTCTTAGTGCTGAGTATGGTGGCACATGGTTTGAATTGCTTACTAGGAGAATTGATTGTGCTCTCAATTAAAAGAACATAAAACATCGCTTATACACAACACACATGCAATTACTAGAACTTTAAATAGGCTGAATTAATAACCAGCCATTTTTGGTATGAAATAATTACAGCAAAATGCCAACTTACAACAGTGGTGTGATGGTTTTCAAAAAATAATGTGTCCAATATTCAGTCAAGCAAAAGAATGCTTTTTGTTTTGTTTTTGAGACAGTCTTACTCTGTCGCCCAGGCTGGAGTACAGTGGCATGATCTTGGCTCACTGCAACCTCTGTCTCCTGAATTCAAGTGATTCTCCTGCCTCAGCCTCCCGAGTAGCTGGGATTACAGGCATGTGCTACCATGCCCAGAGAATTTTGTATTTTTAGTAGAGACAGGGTTTCACCATGTTGGCCAGGCTGGTCTCAAACTCCCGACATCAAGTGATCCACCTGCATTGGTTTCCCAAAGAGCTGGGATTACAGGCGTGAGTCACTGTGCCTGGCCAAGAATGCTTTTTGTACGTACAGCACACTATTTACAGAAGACAATGGTAAATTTCTTCTGGCCAAATATGTAAGGCGGCTTTAAAAGTATTCTTAGTGCTGGGTATGGTAGCATATGGTTTGAATTGCTTACTAAAATTGATTAGGCTCTCAATGAGATTTTCTATGGAATAGTTTAAAGATTATACATGACATTCTCTGAATCTTCTCCCAAATGGGACATCTTGCTGAAACACATACCAAATTTGACCTTAACTACTCTCATTCACACAATGGGAATAACAAATCTGTGCTGTTAAACACTTAGATTTAATTTAGGTAAGATATAGGATGATGGGAAGAAATCAGTGTAACAGAATATGCTATTTTTAGTGGGAAATAACATTAATTTTGAATTTGAGCTCTCAACTGATATTTGTTACGAGATAGTGTTAGCAAAAGCCTACAAAAAAATCTAGGCCTGGCTATTTCATTTTTAAAGGGATTAAAAATACATATTTATTATTTTAAATATGTATAGGACTTTTCTAAACCAAAGGAGTCACACGTAAAATACATAATAAAGGTGACATTCCAATAAGATAAAATCCAAAAAAGGAAACAAAAATGTCTCTGGACTATGAAAGAGAAGATTCACATACAGATCATCCTGAAATTAATTTCTGTAGGGATTATTTCTCTGGACATTGTAGACTAAGGTATAATTTTGACTGAATAAAGGCCTACTGTTTTCAGTTTTCCTTATACTATCTCTTTATATTTTTCTTAATAAAATAGATGAATATTAATCTAGACATTACTTTGAGAGAGTAAAGATAGCAAGATGAGATGGTAATCTATATGGAATTAAAATATTTAATAATTTTTCTGCTTAATATAATTATCATATGATGCAGCCTCATTACAATGTTTGAACTTTATATGAAAAATTTATAATTTTCTTGCTCAAACTGGCTTCAATTTAAAAAAAGAAAAAAATTTATAATTCATTTCTGACTCAAAATGTGGCCTTAACAATTTTTTTTTTTTTTTTTTTTGGTAATTCCAGCTGTTCTACCTCAATAAAACTGAATGGAATCTCAGCAGAAGATTATCCCAAATGAAATTAATTTAAGAAACAAAACTAAGAACTACAATGACTCAGGAATAGTGGTTTAATTATAACATCATTGTCAACAGAACACAAATTATATGATAATGTTGATTACAACACTATAACTCAATTTTACTGAAATGAAGAAGTAAAATGAATTATATGGAATAAACACATAATAATTTATAAATTATGCATGTTTTTGTTTTATTACTCTTTCAAACATAAGTAATTCATCAACGTAACATTTAGACATGTACAATAATAATTAAACTCAGTTGTTTTTCACATTTTGCTGACTTTAGCTATATAAAAATCAAAGTTTCACTTTTTCTGTCCTTATAAAGGGGCATTTGTCAGCTCAGGCACAGTGGTTCACACCTGTAATCCCAGCACTTTGGGAGGCCGAGGTGGGTGGATCACCTGAGGTTGGGAGATTGAGACCATCCTGGCTAACATGGTGAAACTCTGTCTCCACTAAAAACACGAAAAATTAGCTGAGCATGGTGGTGGGTGCCTGTAATCCCAGCTACTCGGGAGGCTAAGGCAGGAGAATTGCTTGAATCCAGGAGGCAGAGGTTGCAGTGAGCTGAGATCATGCCATTCTACTCCAGCCTGGGCAACAAGAGCGAAACTGTCTCAAAATAAATAAATAAAAAATAAAATAAAGGGGCATTTGTTAAGGTAGAATAGAACCATTTTACATAACTGTTTGTTGGCTTCATTTATAACTTTTAAGTATTTAGACATATAGCCTATGGCCTGCATTTGTCCTTCTTATTCAGACTTAGCATATATTAAGGGCAGGTCTGGTTTCATTTGATCATCATGAGAGCATGGCAAGGTAGGGACTATCAACCCATTTTACAAATAAGAAAACAGAAGCTCAGTGAGACGAAGTTTCCAAGGTCATAATAAATACCAGAACCAAGACACAAACCATAGTCTTAAATTGCAAAACCCCTGTGTGCTTCACAGCACCCAGCTGGTGGAACTAAGGATTGCTACAAACATGTTTTATAGAAACGCTAAGGGTCATGAAAGTTTTCAGAAGGAAGTAATCACTGGGGGTGAAGGAAGGACCTGGAAGAATGACTGGGGGACTCCGGTTCTGGCCAAATGATGGTCGATTAGATGTTATGAAGGATCTTTCTGATTAATGCAATTAATATGCTGTCTGGAGTATGCATCATAAGCCAGTATATCAGCAAAATGACACAAAAGTAAAGAAGTCACAAAGCCCCCAAACAGAGGGAAACCAGGAACCCTGTGAGGTAAGCTGCATTCACCATCAGAGTCTCTGCTGCCAGATTTTGTAAACAAGGGATGAAACCCAAGGCCCAGCAAAGGCAGGGAATCTAATAGGAGACTTTGCCAATAAAGCTAGGAGTCTAAAGATAAGTGAGTGTGAAATAAATTCAACCAGGCAGAAGAGGACAATAAGGAAAGTTGTTTCTCTGAAAAAAAATCTCTCCCAAAATTCATAACCATCAAATAGTCTTCATATAGGTTTGTGGTCCAAGCCCCTACTACTTTTGTGGTCCAGGAAATCTCAAGTGAAAAAATTAAAGTGATTACAAATAGAAAGAGGTTAACATTTTGTAGTTCCCTCAGGTAAGTTACAAAAGCAAACACAAATCCTCTCTGAAGGATTTCTACCTTTTTTTTTTTTTTTACTTGAGACAGAATCTTGCTCTGTCACCCAGGCTGGAGTGCAATGGCATGATCTTGGCTTACTGCAACCTCTGCCTCCTGAGTTCAAGCTCAAGCTATTCTCCTGCCTCAGTCTCTCGAGTAGCTGGGATTACAGGCACGTGCCACCACGCCCTGCTAATTCTTGTACTTTTAGTAGAGACAGGGTTTCGCCATGTTGGTCAGGCTGGTTTTGAACTCCTGACCTCAGGTGATCCACCTGCCTTGGCCTCCTAAAGTGCTGGGATTACAGGTGTGAGCCACCACACCCAGCCGGATTTCTACTTTAACACAGGCATGCACACATAGGGAAATAAAACACCATGAGTGAGAAACAGCAGAAACAGTAGATGGCAGAGACAGAGATCAAAGTTCAAATATTAAAATATAAAATAACTGTGTTTAATATATTTAAAGAAATAAAGATAAACAGGAAACAAGCCAATTTGAAAAAACAGGCTGGGCTTAGTGGCTCAACCCTGTAATGCTAACACTTTGGGGACCGTGGTGGGTGGATTGCTTGAGCCCAGGAGTTTGAGACCAACCTAGGCCACATAGTGAGACACCCTCATCTCTACAAAATTAAAAAAAAAAAAATTAGCTGGGTATGGTGGAGCAGAGCTGTAGTCCCAGCTACTGGGGAGGCTGAGGCAGGAGCATCATTTGAGCCCAAGAGTTTAAGGCTATAGTGAGCCATGATTGCACCACAACACTCCAGCCTCAGTGACAGAGCAAGACCCTGTCTCAAAAAAAAGAGCCTAATATAACTTTTAGAAATTAAAAAATAATAATTGAAATGTAAAATACATCAAAGGAATAAACAATACACTAAACCTGTCTGAAGAGAAAATTAGTCAACTGAAAGATCCAAAGAAAGTACCCAGAATGCAGTCCAGAGAGAGTAATAGACAGAAAATATGAAAAATCGAATAAGAGACACAGAGAACATTTCTCCAGAAGGAGAAAATATAAATGGTTTTGATGTGCTATTTGAAGAAATAACTGATACATTTCTGGAATTATTGAGTCATCAGTCTTCAGATCCAAGAGGTTAAGTAGACAGTTGGTGTTCACCAAATATTACATGTGCTTTCCCACATTCCTCAAACTTTCTCAATGTTAGGTTGGGACCATGTGACTATTTCTGGTTAATGTTACTTCGAGGCCAGAAGAGTTAAAAGCAGAGGCGCAGTAGCTCATGCCTGCAATCCCATCACTTTGGGAGGCTGAGGTGGGCAGATCACCTGTAGTCAGGAGTTCGAGACCAGCCTGGCCAACATGGTGAAACCCCATTTCTGCTAAAAATACAAAAATTAGCCAGGTGTGGTGGTGCATGCCTGTAATCCCAGCTATATGGGAGGCTGAGGCAGGAGAATTGCTTGAACCTTGGAGGCGGAGGTTGCGGTGAGCCAAGAGAGTGCCACTGCACTGCAGCCTTGGCTGCAGAGCAAGACTTGGTCTAAAAAAAAAAAAAAACAAAACAGAAAGCCTGCTTGCAGATATTACTACACACTTCTGAAGGACCTTTTGGAGGGACTCTTCAGTACTGAGCCACTCATGATGCCATGGGAATTGCTTTTGGCCAACGGGCACTAGTTATACTCCTCCCCGGGGGCTGTGTATATCCACTGATGAGGGATCAAGGTCCTGGCCTCCTTTTCCCATTTGGGACAACTCTGAAAGGCCAACTAACCTCCAGAGCTCCTGAGTGACTGGTGGAGGCTTCTAACGCAGCTTCTCCTTCTGCACATCCTGCCTCCTTCACATCCTTGCAGGTGTTCCTGAGAATACTCCCCCATAAACTTCCTGTGCCCGAATCTTTTTCTCAAAGTCTGTTTCTAGGGAAACTAACTTTCTCTTCTCCTCCCATCCAAGCTCGAATCTGGCCCAGCCCTGCCTAGTTTCTGAGATCAGGCGAGATAGGCGTGTTCAGGGTGGTATGGCTGTAGACCCTCACTTCGCCTTCTGGGATGACCTCGGAGGCTGCAGCTGGGAGACGGTGGATCTTCCGTCTGCCTGGGTGTCTCAGTCCCTCACTGACCACTTAGCTACGTAGTGTGATGCGAAATAACCTTTGCTATGTTAAGTCACTGAGCTATATGGGGTAATTTTTAACTCAGCATAGCCTGACCCTGTCTAGTACAGCTATTCATGTTAAAATAGCTGAAGTGACCACTAAACTAATCCACATAGAGCATATTTCTAACACATTAATTATAAAACAGGTGGAAGGGAAAAATAGCATATGAAAAGAAAAAAAAAAAAAAAGATGAATGTAAAACTCAATCCAAGAAAGCAAGGGAGGCCGGGCACAGTGGCTCACGCCTGTAATCCCAGCACTTTGGGAGGCCGAGGCGGGCGGATCACAAGGTCAGGAGATCGAGACCACGGTGAAACCCCGTCTCTACTAAAAATACAAAAAATTAGCCGGGCGCGGTTGTGGGCACCTGTAGTCCCAGCTACTCGGGAGGCTGAGGCAGGAGAATGGCGTGAACCTGGGAGGCGGAGCTTGCAGTGAGCCGAGATCGCGCCACTGCACTCCAGCCTGGGCGACAGAGCGAGACTCCGTCTCAAAAAAAAAGAAAAAAAAAAAAGAAAAAAGAAAGCAAGGGAAACAAGGAACAAATAGAGAAAACAAGACAAAAGCATTTAAGACAATGAGAATAAATGTGGATATCAGTAATCATTATAAATGTGAGTAGACTAAACTGTCAGCTAAAAGACAAATATTGTCAAACTAATAAAATCTCACCATGTGCTGTTTACACAAGACACAGTTAAAATATAATCATGGGGAAGGATTGAAAGTCAAAGGAAGGAGATAAGCCAAACAAATGATAACAAAAGCTTGAGTGGTTATATTAATATCAGATGCATTCCAAGGCAAAAAGCATTACTAGATATAAAGATAATCACTACAAAATCATACCTTTGCATCACCAGGAAGATAGAAAATAGGACAGTTATAAACTTGGATATACCTAAAAAACACAGGCTCAAAATACATAAAGCAAAAATTAACTTACAAGAAGTAATTTACAAATTTGCCACTATAATGGCAGATTTTTTTAACACGTCTCAATTATGCATAGATCAAGTAGAACAAAATTAGTGAAAATATAAAGATAATTGATCTTATGGACAAATATGGAATAATTCCTCCAACAACTGGAGACTATACTTTATTTATAGGCACACTTAGAAGATTTATGAAAATTATTCATATGCTAGGCCATCAAGCTAGTCTGAACAAACGTCAAGGATTGGAATAACACAGGGGGCATTCTCAGACCAAGATCAATTAAGTTAAATCAATAGTATAAAAACTCCATATACTTGGAAGCATAGAGTTACCATATGATCCAGCAACTCCACTCCTGGGTTGTTCACCAAAGAGACTGACAACTTGTCCACCTAAATGACTTGTACGTGAATGTTCACAGTGGCATATTTATTTATAATAGCCAAAAAATAGAAACAACTCATCCTGTTCATCAACTA